GTTTTGCTGCTTTGCCATTTATCTATGCAAGATGGAGAGTAGAGTATAATCTCCCTGCTTGAAAGCCCACAATAGCATTTTGGGATGCCAAAGAAGGCTATTTACTGCTGGGTTGTTCAACAAAGTGTGCCCTCTGGGATTACCCTTTGTGATTGGGAAAGAAAGAATTTTGTTTCATTTCTTCATTTGGAAAATTTTTTTTGCTTGACTAGCGACAAGGCTCCTGGGTCACTAAGCAATAGTGTTCTACCCTAATTGCCTTCAACTTATTTATGTTTCTAAGTTAGGCCTTTGGTAGTTGTTTTTTCCAAATTATATAAGGTCAATATCCCACTGCCCTGGAGAACAGAACAGTTTATAGAATGTTTATATATAAAAATTGCTTTTGACAATTTTACTTCATGTAGCAACCTTAAGATTGTTTTCAAACAAGGAGGAATCAACACCAAAATACACTAATTTTTTTTTCCTTAATCTTGTCTGACTCCCCTCCTCACAAGCATATTTGTTCTCCTTTTACATTAGCTAAGAATATAGTCAAGTGGAAATTTGAGAAAATATCATCTCAAGCTCCCAACTCTGCCTACACCACAGACAAAAATAAATGTGTAACTAGAATGTGATGTATAATACACGCAGTCCAGACAGCAGAAACATAGCTAGGTTTCTCCAAATCCGTGAGAAGGAGTAGAAGAAAGAAACCCAAACGACTGTTGACTCAGTGTCACTGAGTACATGATGCTCATTTAGGCAAAGGCATGTTTGGTGGTAATATCATCTCCTGGTGTTGTGAGTGCTACTGGCATTAACCATTTCTGCTGAGTGATTTATCAGTGAGCAGCCCTGCATCAGAGGGGTTGTTCAGCACCATGCAATAAACACTGAGGCTGCCTCCTAAACTAAATTATGTGTTTTTCTCAAGTAGTAAGTTATTTAGGAGGAGGAAGAGAGCAGCATTTTTTACTCACGTATCATTTTCAACTTTTTTTTTTCTTTTATCCTGTTTTAAGGTCACTGCCTTTACATTGTAAGACAATAGATTTTTTTCTCTAGATACTTCCTAGCTCTAGATTTCTTTTGAACTACCCTCCTGAATGACACTTAATGTACTGTTCTCCCACTCTTATCTTCAGACTTTCTTATATGCTGTTCCTTAGGCTTAGAAATCCTTACTCTCCATGCCAAATATCCACCCACTCCATGTTCACATTCTTCCTTTAAACTGCATTTCCTTTAAGTCTATCAAAAATAATCTTCAAGTTAAGAAACATATCAACTCTACCCTGAGATCTGACAGTCTGCTGATCATCAGATTTCCTACTGCTGGCTGAATTCTTTAATTTGTGCATAATACTCCATAAATCAGGGATTCATTTTTCCTTAACATCACATGTACTGCCTTTTTTATTAAATATATATATGTGTAAAATCTTTTTTAAAGTACCCCAAAGTTCAGCCCAACTGGTTTCCTAGAGGCCATCTGGCTGAGCACTGCTGCTTGTTAATTTGCTGTTCACAAATTAACAGAATTTATGGAAACAGCTACCTATGAACTGTAGAGTGGTAGGGAGTTTGCACTTTGGGAGGGTGTTTATGTTTGCTTTTGGGTTTGTTTTGGGGGTTTTTTGTGGGAGTGGGTTGTTTTTTGGCACAAAACAAGGGAAAGAATTGTTGAAATTATAAAAGCATATTTGGGGTACAAGTTGAAAGTTAGAATGCATGAGGCACATCTAAAACCTTTTGGGTGGTAAGATCTGATAAGCAGCTCTGACTGTTTCGTGACCTAGCCTGGCATGCTTGTGCACTTTGTTCATTGTGTGTAGCAGAGGTTTGTGATGTGGCTTTGGAAGATAATTTCCTGGGGGGTAAAGGATCTACCACAACTAACTGGTTCACTGTTAGAGAGCTTCCTCTAAGGATTTGAGCATAAAACTTTAGTAAGCTCAGTGAAATATGTAGGTGGCTTCCACTGTTATGTTTCGAAAGACTGAATATTTGGCTTCATATTCACTTCAATTTCTTCTACTTTCTTAAGAGGCTTTTTTGCTTTTTGCTATGAAATATGCACAAGTACTTGGAAAGCAATAAAAAAACAAAACCAGGCCATGCAGATAACAAGAACGGGGAAAGGAGAGAGATACATGCATTGTTTTCTCTTTGGCCATAAAAGTTTTTTACTCTGGAGAGCATGTCTCAAATTAACCTGACTGTAGTTTGTGCTGAACGCAAGCCATTGAATGAGGGGGAACAGATGGGCAAAAGCTTTCAGGTCGGGAATCCACGAGGGAGTGCCTCCTCCTTTTGGTTCTCTTGCCACAATTGTCCTGTTGTCTCCAGCATGGAATGTGGAACATGGGGAGTGCCACGTTCTTGGAATGGCATGACTGGGGAGAAGCCTCTGCTCCAACAACCTGGCAGATCTATTGTTTTCCATAGCTCCCTTTGGCTGTCCTTCCCATATGAGACCTGGGTCCAGTATCTTAGGTATAGACTTAACCAGATAAAATTACCTTATTGGAGTTCTATCTTAAGATGATTTGTTCAAAGAAAAACCCCAAAATGAATAAACTCTACAAGTGAACCAGAACACTTTGTTTTTGTGAACTTGTAAGCAATTCTTAAAACCATTTGCTTTCACAGGGAGGTAATACTACTTACTTATAACCTCATTTCCCTACATTCTTTTTAGTCCTAAATAAAAACCAAAAACTGAACATAAAACATTTGCATCCAAAGCAGAGTAATTTATAAAAGTTTGATTTGTTCAATGTTAAATCCTGCTTACCCCTAAACAAAACAGTGGAATAGGGAAACTTTCAAGCTGCCTAAAATATATTTACCTTAAAAGAAAAGCCTTTTTTTAAAATCTGGATCTACCAGTTTATAAAGCTAGTGAAATACTGTTCCTCAGTGTTTCTAAAATATGTACATTCTTCATCTGTTTGCTGATTGTTTGCAGCATAAAATTCAGCCTAGAAATCATGAGGAAAAAAGAAAGGTTGTAAGCCACTCCTCTGGATGCTTTGCCGCAAGAGAAGTAAATCTAAACACTGGCTGCTAACAAAACCAAAATTGTAAAAACATTGCTAAAACAAATGAAGCTGGTAGGCAGCATTTTACAAAAAAAAAAAAGTGCTATTTTCAAATACAGTTATGATCTTTTAGTAAGTCTTAAATTTCCATTTAGCTATGTTAAAATGATTGTCTGTGACTGAAATCAGGCCCAATTCCTTTTTCTTTAATACATTAGGGAAAAGCCTAAAGTTGGGACCAGAATGGATCCTATTGGAGTTAAGTACGTAACTCCCAGAAAACGTTTTCCATTAAACTCTGTTGGGGTTACTTATCAGATTTCTTTAAACTCTGATATAAAATTTTTAGTGCATAACCAAACCAAATGCCTTGTTCTAGGAGTTGATCTTGTTGGTAATGGACCAGCATAACCTTTCACCCCCAAAGCTTTTGTTTTTGTGTCTCAACAGTGTCATAGCCATTGCTGGAGATATTCTCCTGAGTGCTCCCAATCGGATCAGGCTGGACATGCATCAAAACAACATTTTACTCTCTGCCTGACCTAACTTTTCCTTTCTCTCATTCAAGCACATTATTGAAAACCATCAAGTTTTATGTGTTCCTGAGCTATGAGGAAAACAGGAAGCAGACAAGGAGATTCTTTCCTGTCATGGTGCTCTGTAAATCAAGTCCTGTATGTGTAGCTTGTAGTCCCAAGGAAGTCTGTACACGCTTAGTCTAAGAGATGCTTTTTAGAAGCTGTATTTTCCTTAAGCTTTTGCTAGTTTCTTCCTTTAAAATACCTTTGTGACAGAATTATGCACATTTATCCCTTGTCTCTGAGGCTGCAACCTGGAAGTGTTCTTCTGTCAGGAAGTATTATTTAAGTTGCTCAGGAATTAACCTCTGTGCTCAGGAATTCATCTCTGTAGTTCTCAGAATGAAAACAGATGCTTTGAATTCACATAGTGGCTACATACACTTTGCATGCCCCAGAGGAGTTGTTCTGTATCTCATAAACAGAAACACCACTTTGTCTTCCAGATTTTACCTTGTACGGTTGTCTGGCCGTGGGCAGAACTCAGAACAGTGAGGTTATCACAGAGAGGCCTTACACTAGTCCTGGGGGCTATGACTGTGTGTTTTGCTAAACTGGCTGGAGCAGGATCTTAATATCTTGCAAACCTAAGTATTTAGCATGAAAATGCACTCTTTTGTCATAAAAATGAGATGTAGTAGGAGACAGTCAGTGTTTTCCTGTGCTGCAGACAATAAAGAAAGTGTCTTCCAACTTCCATGCAGTATCTTTTGTCACATAGAGTAAGAATGTACATGAGTCAGCTTTAGTTGTGGGTTTGGGTTTTTCCTTTTTTCAGTCAATATTTCTATTACACAAAAATTTTGAAGTCCTAAAGCAAAATATTAAAGTATTTCTGTTAAGATACCCTGGATCTGGTTTTATGTGTTTTGTTTATTTGGTTTGGTTGTGTTGTTGAGGTTCGTTTAATTTTTTGAGATAGCTAATGCGTGCCAATAAACTTTGTTTGTGTATCCTAAACTATAATCATGCTTTGTGAAAACTTAATCTATGGTAAAAACATGAGAAAACCACCCTGTTTTGCTCACACTCGGTTTGAAGGAAGGAAGTTTAGTGGTTTTTAAGTACTTCAAAGCTGCAAAACATAATTCAAAATGTTGCACAAATTCCATATGCTTTTACAGCTATACAAAAAGGAGTGCAAACAGATCCCTTTATAATATGTTAGTGTTTTACAACCACTTTGCAGCACAGCAAAGAAAAAGGTTACAAAAAGCAAGTGAGGGTTGGTGCAGCTCAGCTGTGTTCATGAGCACGCAGCTCCCATTGTTGACAAATGAGAGTTGCTTGACTTGACCACAGCCAGTATGAGGTCAAGATATATTAATAAAATGCTTTCTTAAGTGTTTATTTCTGCTCTTTTTTGTATATCCTTGTTGTGACGTGACAGAGCATTCGAGGTCAAGTGCCAAGCTATCAGTGGGGATGGAGTAAAGCACCTTTATCTGAGCCTTCGCTGACACGGGACTCGGCCGTGACTCACAGAGGGTAAGTTAACTGATTATGCTTAACTTTCTCTACTATGGTAAAATGAGTTGCAGAGAGAACACACTGAAAGCCAAGGGCCTCTAAATACTTTTCCCTTTTATGGAATAGAGCTCCCAGATTTCCATTTCCTGGAGATTGTACTCTAAGCCTACACAGTGGTAAAAGAAAGTTCTCTGCATTCACTGATCTATATCTGACTACAAATTTGTGCTCAGGGGATCATTTTTTTCCTAACTATTTTAAGCAGTAAGTTTATAATAACAGACCAAAATGTTAAAAAGCACTCCATCCTCTCTTTTCTTTCTTTTTCTTACTTTTTTGTTTTCTTTAGATTGTCTTCTCCTAGTGTGGGAATAAGCAGAATCTGGTAACTAGGGTAGGTCATTTGTTTGTGGTTTTTTAACTCATTTTATAGGTGCAAAAGGCTCGTGCAGACTGAGATTGTAGATCTTCACCCAAATCCACTCTGCCTGTGACATGTGAGTTAATCTCTACCAGTATTTAATTTTAAAAGGTAATTTTGGAGCTCTTGCAATTTCGAAAAGAATGGAGTTTTGGGGGAGATCGTTTACTCTGATAAAATACTACAATAATGTCCTGACATCCTTTGATAGGATATAGGCCAGACAGAGTTTGATCAATGCCTAACAAAAGAAATAACAAAATCTTGAAATTGTCTCACTGCCTGGGATGCTAACATGTGCTTATGCACCTTGACTGTTTTTAAAGTGCAGGTGTATGTTTTTCTCTCTCCTTTCAGTGTCTTCAGGGACAATAATGACAGTTGTTTCAGTTGGCACCTCACTGCATTACATGTATTGTTAGCATATCATTTCCTCCTTTCACTGAAACCTGCTTATTCTTGTGGAAAGGAGATAAAGCTGGCAAAGCTGATGGTAGCATTATTCCAAAGGCTGTTCAGCTGGCAGATAAGCCAGGCTTAGAACCAGGATAGTGATGCTCTCTGCACTGTGGCTCAGTGTTCAGGGAGGCTGTGAGCTGGTTTTGTAAACAGAGGTGTGAGTTTCTGTAAGCTCCAAGGCTGCACTCCTCCCTAATGCTCAGCAGCAGAAAAAATGTACCTTCCAGTGAAATACATTTTCCAAGGGCATTTCTTTCCTTTCTTTCTACATCTGTGAGACACAGATAAGCTCCTCTAATTCTTGTTAAAGTGTTCTCACAAAGCCCCCTTTTTCTATACATTTTGACTCTCCGTGACATTTACTGGGGTTGTTTTCATTGCCCAACCAAAGAGGCATAAGGTCACTTCAGCAGTGATGGAAGGACATTTATTCACTAATATCCTAAGGTTCCATCATTTCTAAACCTTTGCCTTTCCTACCAGTGTCAGAAGGCAGTAATTGATGCAGACAATGGCAGAACTCTTTGCACAGCATGGAGCAAGGAGGTGTTTCCATTGATTATATCCTTTTGCATTTACAATACGTGATGTTTGTGCTGGTTTAACATCATAAAGTCTTTAAAGGATCTGGACTACTGATTTTAAGAACACTGCACAAGTTAAAGATAAACTTTTAGATTGAAAAATTAATAATTCAGGAGCTCTAAGTCATATAGTTTATTAATTGAACTACATCTTTATGTTGAAATACCAATATGTAATGGCCCTCACTTTGGCAGTGTACAGAACTGCAGCAGTGCAGTCAAGGTGTGCAAAGATGGTGTTTGTTTTAAGAAGCCTAAGAATATGAATAATTATGTGCAAGCTTTCACTGCTCCAATATAGTCCTCAACACTGGGGTTTTCTGGAGAGATATCAGGAAAAAATGGAAAGTCAGAGGACGAAATTTTCCTACTGATCAGCACAAAGATTTGGAGCTTATTTGCAAGATAGCTCTGTAAGGAAATCAGAGTAAGGTTCTAACTGTGTCAGAGACGTCCTGAGCTCAGTCCACTCCTAATCTGGGGGTTGTTAAGGTGGAGTAAATTCATCTTTCTCCCCTCCGTTCTGCCTTGGCTGTACTTTCTGTGCTGCATCTCTAAGACAACACAGCTCGAGATTTGTCCCTTTCTATTCTTAGACAAGCCTGCTGATTTATTTCTTCTGCTTTCAAAGTTTTCTTGCTTTTTAAATCTAAAAAATGAACTGAAACTTGATGTGCTTAACAGCTCTTTCTTGTTTCAAGATAACTTGCATTACTTCTTTTAAGTTTAGTATGCACTAGGAACTCAGCTAAGACCCGGAATAAACCACTTTGATGCAATAGCTTATACAATTCCATGTAGGACTGCAAACATGCTTTGGCCATGACTCAAAACATTCCTGATTTTTCAGGCCCAGCATTCTGTTGAGTTGAATCTATCAGAACCAGTATAAATTCATAAGGCAAACACTGAAGAAGGATTAGATAAACAGCCAAATTTGTATCTTCTCTTTTTTGTTTTTGTTTGAATTTGAGTTCTTGCAAACTCAGAAACTGCGAAGGATGCCAGGATTTTGCTGCAGAGGAAAAGCAAGCCTGTGCCACTTTTTTTTTTAGTTACCTTCCTTCCATCTCATCTTCATGTGTTGTTCATAGTCACCTGGTTGGTGACTGTTGTTTGATACTTAATTGTTGAAACACAGAGATGTTTAATGCTACTGCTAATTGTCTAACCTCCGAGGGTTTATTGAAATCTATGTAATCATAAATGTCTGTTTTCTATCATATTAGGGACTTAAAAGATGTTTTGCTATAATAAACATTTTAAAAACATTTTATTCAGAGAAAGCTTCCTCTACTCTTATTTGAAGTCAGAGATGGGTAAAATCATGATATAAACATGAACTTCCACTTACTTCAGTAGAGGTAGGAATTCTCCTGTAAGAGGTTCAAAATGTTTACAAAAGCTTGAAACATGCTGTCCCTAAAGTATTTACTGCTCTGAGAAATCTTCATGCTCACTGTTCAAAACCAGTCTCATTTGTAATGATGATGTATATGCTGCATCTTTTTCACAGTCTTTATCAAAGGACTGCAGTGAAATAATTATTTTCCCTGAACACACTAATGCTTGTGTAGGATCATTCTTATAACCTGTTAGTTCTGCATGAAATTTCATGTGAGGTGGCCTTGTATTCCTCTCCTAGTAAAAAAGAAAATTTAGTTTCCAACATAATGTGAAATAAATGTAATAAAAGCATCAGTCTTATCTGCTTCTGCAGTCCAAGGTTTTCACACATCCTGCAGGTTTTACAACACGGATTTTTTTGCTGTGAGAGCTGAGGTGAGGAACTTGTCACTACTGAGACTGCTTCACTAATTCTTGTGAATGGTTCTGCCTCTTCTTTCTTTTTGCTATTTTTTTTAAAGATAACAGCTTTATTTTGACAATTTTGATTGTCACTCTCAATAAACCAACATGTTCCTGAAAACATTTCTTTGCCCACCCCTGAAATGGAAGGGAAAACTGTAGAAAGTTAATCTTAGAATTCTGCTAAATGCCTTGAACTTCAAATCATCTCCCCAACTCAATCTCTTTATTCCATCTATCTTGAGTTCCAGAAGAGTAAAAGAATTGAGATGACATCAGGAGTTCTGGTCTGGGAGAAGATAACATGCTTTTGGAGGTTGAACTTGGGCTTTCTGGGTATACTTAACCTGCTGGGGAAACTACTGAAGTTGCTATGGTACCGTTTGAGTGTGTTGCTCCGTGCTGTGCTCAGCTGGGAATTTGTAAGGGGGATGCAGTCAGCTGGCCCTGGTGCAGAGAGAAACTGTGGTAGGGGATGCAGTGCAGACAGGAGCTGTGCAGGGGGATGCAGTCAGCTGGCCCCAGTGTACACAGAAGCTGTGCAGGGGATGCAGTCAGCTGTTCCCGGTGCAGACAGCAGCTGTGCAGGGGATGCAGTCAGCTGGCCCCGGTGCAGACAGCAGCTGTGCACCAGGCGGTCTCTGATGCCCTGCAGGCGCCGCCGGGGAGCGCTGTGATGTGTTGCCGAGGTCAGTGATGTGTTGGTGAGGACAGTTCCCGAACTCTCGGGCAGGTGTCGCAGTAAGTATTGCAATCCGCCCACTGCTGCTGCTGTAAGGACCGATTTGTTCTTCGCGCTGCTCGTCCTCAGACCTCGGTACAGACTCTTGTCTTGTGAATGCAGTACCTCCCCTTGACACTAATAACAAGAATTTTCTCAGCTAATAGGCAGAGAATTTTTTTTCCCTGTTGTCTTGTGCAGAGGTACCAAGTCTTTGCACAACTGACCTAGGCCTTGCTCTTGCTCAGATGAAGAGTGCCACCATCTGGGGTTCCAGTTTTGCTCCTCTGAGATCACTCTCTGTAGCATGAAGACTTTGTTAGTTGCTAAAAGGCACAGTATGGAAGAGATGACCAAGAGGGAACATCATCAATGTGTATAAATACCTGAAGGGGGGTTGTCGAGAGGATGGAGCCAGGCTCTGCTTGGTGGTGCCAAACAATAGGACAAGAGGCAACAGGCAGAAAATGATGCACAGGAATTTCCACCTGAACATGAGTAAGAACTTCTTTCCTGTGAGGGTGACCGAGCGCTGGAACAGATTGCCCAGAGAGGTTGTGGAATCTCCCTCACTGGAGATATTCCAGAACCATCTGGATGCAATCCTGTGCCATGTGCTCTAGGATGACCCTGCTTGAGCAGGGAAGTTGGATCAGATGACCCTCTGTGGTCCCTTCCAACCTGACCCATTCTGTAATTCTGTGATATCCAAGATGCTGTTGACTTCTTAGAAGATTTTTAAAGAAGGTCACAGTCATAATGACAAAATAAAAATCAGTCAAATGGAAGGAAGAGGTGCAAATAGCAACAAGAATGGAAGGTTGTCTGTTTTGAATGCATTTGCTAGGTTATACTTGACCTTGAAAGCTTTAGTTAATAAAACACAAGATAGCATTTTTAATTTTAAACCTTAATGCTGTTTGTTATTGTAAAGTGATCTCAGTGTGAGAGCACAGAGTTTTAAACAGATTTGGTTTGTCTTTTTGGCATCTAACACAGCCTGCAGATCACAAGGCCTCTCAGAGCTTATGCCTTCAGGCTGACTTGAAACAACCATTGCCAGCAGTGCATGGTCCTGTTAGTGCCCAGTGCAGCTCCACGTGCTTCACGCTGCCCACCATGCCAACCTCGCCTGAAGACAAGGGACGAGCACAAGAGGCACAGCACAACAGTTCTCCTCCAGCCAAAGTAAGCACTCTTACAAAGGTGTTTTCTGACTCTTGTTGGAAACCCGAGGGTGAAACCACTTTGTGTATATTTAGGAGTTTATAAAACAAAATGTAATCATTGCGCTGAATTGGTGTGTTTTGCTTGGTCGATGAAGCTGTGAGTGATCCTTCAGTTGATATTCTTAGAGTTCTTCAAATATTTTATAGCCTAAGGGATGAGAACTCAAGTGGCTCAGGCAGTCGTTTATCGTTTTGATCTGGAGGATTATAAATGGTTCAGAACAGACAGACATATATCAAAGCTGTCCAAAGATGTCCTTTCTGATGTGATTACAGAAAACTCAAACCTTTGAGAAAATAATTTAGGCTTGTACTTCACAGTAGTCTTGGAACAACTAGTGTTGCTTTTACAGATATAGATGTTATGCAATTCATGAGGGCATTTTGGTTTGTAGTCTTTCTCAGCAGTAGCTGAACATACATGGGAACTATGCAGAGAGCAGGTGGGTGCTCCCCAGACATATTCATCACTTTGCCTCTCTAATTTGTGGCATCTATATGTTTTTACATGTCTTGTTTGCAGATAAATTACAAAAATCAGTAAGAGATGGCTCTTCTCCCTTTTCAATAATCTATACCAAAGATAAAAAGTAACTTTATGTTTTAATAAACTGGGGTTGTTTGTGTTTTTTTTAATCATTATCTTAGCTGAGGTAAAGAACCTATACTGATTAGAAAATCACAACTTATCCAAATCATCCGATTGCATGCAAACTGGTGTAAAGAGAGGATTTATAATCTGGCACATCCTCAGTTAAAAATGTATCACCATCATTGGGTTTGAGGACACTACATTCTACACTTTAGGTGAAAACATCCGCTGCTCTAACATTGTTGGAAAACATTGTGAGCAGTGAGCCCTACACTGATTTGTCATGCATTCCATCTAAACTGCACACTGTGCTGAGTGTTAGTTTCCTGGTTTAAGATAAACACCCCAGGTGGATGCAAGTTCATCAGACTATTAGCTGAGAACATATATTAGCTCAAAAAGATTTTAAAGGGATTTTTAACTCACCTATGTGAAAAGTCTTTTTGTACAAAAGACTTGCTGGGTAAAACATACCCAAAGAGGAAAAAACTATGAAAAGCCAGCAGATATCAGTGATTCCAGTCTTAAGGGTGCTTGTCAAAGGGGAAAAATGAAGATTTCCAACCACATAATATAAAAAAAATTATTTTTTAAATGCATTTTACAGGCCTTTTAGAAATGGGTCTTAAATGAACTATGATAATGTGATAGTTCATTAATCAGTTAACTGTGCAAAATGCCTCATTTTAGATGCATGTTTATTGTTAGGCACAAAGTAGCAGGGGAAGGATTTTAACCACACACTGCTCATAAGCCTTCTTAAGTTAAGGTTTGCCACTGGCCAACGTTGTGAGGATTTGATCTTGTTCATACCTGTTGTCACTCTTGGGTCTTGCTGCAGACCAAATTCTGCAGTGTGACTATAAGTCACTGTAAGTAAAATGGTTTTTTATTGTGAGAGAAGGACTTGCAAGCCAGGAGAGGGCATCGGAAACAACTAACAACTGGTGGATTTGTTTTCTGCCATTCAACAAAACTTTCCAAGTCTGGAATATCACCTTTTCCAAAGTGCTGTCTGGTATTTAACAATTTCCTCATTCTGTTTCAGGAGGTGCTTCCCCACCTTTTCCCTGCATGACCAAATGCACACAGATTCACAAACCAGTTCTGACAGAAAGCAAATGAACCTTACATCACATGTAGTTTCCTGCAAGATCCAAATACCTTTCATATGATGGGAAGACCTGGGTTATATGTCTCAAATTCATTTTGAGAAAACAAATGCAGATTTCCATTTCAGTATTTCTTGCAGCAGCCAGTGTTCACCATTCTGACTAATTCTAAACAAAAATCACCATAGTATTCCTCAGCTCTGCGTTCCTAAGGGAGGTGGATGTGAAATTCCCATTAACACAGGTGTAAGGGCACTGAGCCTAATTCAAAGAACTTTAGTCTCTGATCTGAACTAAGAGCATGTAGTTGAACCCTTAGTTCAACCTCAGTTTGTGTGCTGTCTTGTTGCAGTAAGTATTGAACATTTTAGATTTTTTTTTTAACACAAAATCATTTTCCCTACCATAAATCATAGAACTTCATGGTCAGATGTAACTTTTAATCATTTCCATATTTAAATTTAATTGGATTTATTTCACATAGAGTAATATAATATTATAATATGCTTTCACTGACACTTTTAAAAACTCATTTCAGGTTTTTAGTGTTAAAAATGTAATTTCTATAAATGTAATGCATACCTGCATCAAAGAAGATTATGTCCTTACCAGTTATGTTAAAATTCATAGTGGCCTATAAATCTCCCTACACTTTCTGGGTTGGTTGTGAGCTGTCATCTTTCCCTCTTTTTAAATCAAAAATCCCTGTGTCTATTTTCTATTTCCAGCTGGCTCTCTATGTATCCTGATCACTATTTTACTGACTCTTCTGACTGCTGAGGAAAAGTCTGCCTCGGGTGTTCATAATGTTTTTCATACACTGATTATTCTGTCATTCAAACTCCTGCATTTCTTTTATCTCTCATTATCCTTATTTAAATTTGTATTATACATTTGTCAGACCACTGCATGTCATCTGTTTTCTTCAGATGGGTGGTGTCCCATGTTTGCTTTGTTCTCCTGTTTCAACTAGATACAGCTACACTACCTTATTTCCTAAACTCCAAGCTGAGCACCCCATTTAAACATTTAAAATCAAGCTTATTTAAAATCCCATCTCACTCCAAAGACTGCCCTCTGAGACGCATAACTTTTAGGCCTTTCACATAAGTCTCTGTTTTGGGCCAGATTTTTTCTGAAATTCCATCCAGACTTTTAATTAATATCTAAGAATATGACCAGGTGGCAGAGGATTTTCTTTTTTCTTTTTTTTTCTGAGTGCTTTAAAGACTTCAGGTGATATACAGTAAAGCTCTATCATCTGACTCCTCTGGCATAGTAGGCCTTTTAGCAGAGGGTAGTTTTGTATTCCCTTCTCATTAATGTTCACATCCATCCAAATCTGGCTGGATTATAAAGCTATCAGACACACGTTTTCTGTATGCTTAGTGAGGGTCTGGTAGAATTTAACAGCCAGAATGTCTGCAGGTCCCATCTCCACCCTCAGAATCCTGCTCCTCTTGGATATTCTGTTATGGACCAAACTGCACGTGCCACCCTCTCAGCCCTGCACACACCTCCCTGCAAGACTAGGTGGCACGTGGTCATCCCTGTGGAGCATGTGGAGCAGTTCCTACCTGAGCAATAGAGGTGGAGTCAGTTTTACCCTACATTTTTGGGGAGGGAGGGCTTGGGACAAAAAGGAGGCAAAGACTTGGGTAGCAGGGCAGCCACTGGCAAGGCAGCTGTTGGGAATAGCTGAAGAGCAGACTGGTCTGGAAGCTAACAAGGAGAGCACAGTTAAAGGCACACAATGGGAGGGTGATGGAAAACTTCTGTGTCATCTCTGTGCACATTGTATAGCTTTGTGAGACAGACTAAGCTTCCTGTTAAAGCTTCTCTTCCAAGACCTGCATAAAGCAGCCTGAGCACTCTTCAGAGTACAACGATTCCTTTTGATTCGAGCCAACTGGCCCTGCAAAGAGAGTCATTCCCTCCCTCTTCCTGCCCCTCTCCTGCAGAATGTACAGTAGGTTTGGACAATAGAAGCCATGAGGTTTCACTTGGGTAGATGTTGAACTGCTACAGCTGCTGACCAAGATTAATATTTTCTACCTGACCCGAACTAGCCTTGGCTGCAGCTTCTTTCTTTTTCTTTTCTTTTTATCTTTCTTTTTTTTTAATCTTTCTTTTTTTTTTTTTTTTTTTTTTTTTTAATAAGCTGGTTTTAGAGTCCTAAAATGGACTTGAGTGACTTCAAGGCTGATGTTACGTCGTTCAAAAGCTTTTGCTTTTTGGCAGTCGTGAGATGTGTATAAACCATGTGCCTGTGTATTCAGCTGCTTTGCCCTACAGGCAGGGCGGTCACCTGAAGTTTTGTCATTGACAAAAGATATGATTACTTAGTAACAGTTTCAAGAATATGACTAAATATTGCTTTCAAACTGTTGTCATCGAGTGTCAGTTGTGCACTTGAATCACATATGCATTAGCGTTCTAACATTTACAGTCCTGCAAGGGTATTTTTCTAAAACTTAAATCTTCCTGGTGTTTTCTTGGCATGTTTCCCATCTTGCTTTCCTGTGATTGACGAAGTGAACTTGCCAAGGAACTTCATAGGAGAATTATGACTATAGAAGTGTAGAGCTGCATGACATGTTTTTGGTTTAGTTAAAAAAAAAATGCTATTTACAATAGAATCAAGAATCCTAAATCATGCGTCCAAATCAAGGCATATTTCATTGCCTTTGAGAGGGAGAAGGGTTATGATGGGAAGTTTCTTCTCCAGCTGCTTATTGGTTTTAATCTGAATGTAGTGCTTGGGGTAGACATAATCATTTTTTTACTACATATGAGAAATCCACAGGACTTTATTCCAACTTGAGGCACCTCCACTTGTGATATCTCACAGGAAACTGATTCCTTCTCTTCAAGTGATTGACATCACTGTGCAGAAGGTGTGGGATTAAGTTCTTGGGGCAAGGTCTTATATTTTTTAGGCAGGTGAGCATAAATTAATATTCAGTGCCAATTTCTTTTATTGCTTAAAAATCATCATTTTATTAAATATTGCGATTATATTTTTAAAAAATATTTTTCCAAGGAATGTGAAGGAAAGCCACGTGCAACTCTTAGCAAAATAACATTAAAATTATTTTCTGATGTTTTGGGTATCATATCTACACTTAATACTGCATTTATTCAAGCTTTCATTACACACTAGTACCATTTGGAGGGTTTGTGTGCCCAAGTTAGCCCTGTTAGATAGAGCTGCTTTTCACTCCTGCATTCAGCTCATAAATTCACTATAGTGTTGTACATTTACTTCAGTAGAAGAATGGTTTGCTGTGTGAAAAATCAGTGTGTCTGCCATTCTAAAGCTTTCTCATTAGTTCCATGCTTAGTGAATTTAGCTTGCATGCACTAAAACTTCTTAAAGAAACAGATATTCCTAGTCTTCTTCATCTCTTTTTAGTAATTTAAGTGTAGGCCTGTAAATCACATTTGTTTTATCTAATTAGAGCTAATTCTCTCTTAGTTCAGTCATTTTCTTTTCTAGCCAAATTGAGCAATGCACATTATTTTTCACATAGAGCATCAGCATACTGTGGTTTGAATTTCTGTTTAACTACATTTTTATATTTGTCACAAACCATGCAGGACACTAGAGCTGAAGGGACAACGTGCAGCACACCTTCTATTGTTCTTCCAGAGAATGCTGTTACACCAGATTCAGAAATTGATAAAAATCTGGTTAACAGGTACTGTATAATACATTACCCATCTATGCATAAATTGTACAGTAATTCCAGGTGCTGTGTTTCTAAAATACTGCTTTGAAATGTATATTGTATGAAAGTATTGTTACTATTTCTCCATTTGTGATTTGCTCATATTGTCTTTGCATGTTGATGATGGTGTTTGGGATGCAGGGTGGGGGAACAGGAATATAACTGATACTAAAAGACCAGACTTGCATATAATACTAAGCCTGCCAACCTGACTCATTGAGTTGGACAACTTAAATGTCTTGAATACGGATTTAATATGGATTTAATAATTTAACACAATGGGTTTTGAAGCAGATATTTGGGCCCGTTCACATGGATGGGACAAGAATACCACCTTGAGGTGAAGGATATGTGAAAGTAAGCTATTAAATGGAAATAATAATTCTGTTTGAAGTGGAAAAGTTCAGTTTTAAGTTGAATTAAGGTTATTTCCACTCTTCTGATAAAGCATACTTCCTGACCTGGGATTTTTAATTTGTTGACCTGCCATTGGACTTAAAATACAGGGGAAAAAATGAATCAGAAAGTTATGATTATAAATCTATAATTTACTTGTACTTCACCAAACTTCAAGATTATTTTAGAGTCAGAACTGCAATGCATCCCTTTAAAATTATTTGCCAGATCAGTATTTAAATTTCTGTAGTCATTTGAGACTTTCACCGGGTTTGCGTGTGACGTTACGGGAGTGTCAGTGTGGGAGCCTAAGGAATTATTTCAGCCTTGAAACTTAGTTTAAGAAGCTGTAACAATTTAAAAACACTAAATTTTTTTCTCTATGTACCACATTTACATGAGTTTTAAGTCATGATGATGGTCTAAACAGATGTAGGACTTTTTCTGAGAGATCTAAACTCACTGTATGAGGTTATTAGCAAATTTCAGAACTCCTTTGTGAGAGCAATTTCTACAATTTTCCTTCATTCTGCAACTCCTCCATTTTCCAGTTGTTTGGAGATGAGAGGAACTACAATAAATGCCTTTTGTCTTCTTTTTTTTTTTTTTAATCAAAGTGCTTTCTTTTTAGTGTTAAATTTTTATAGATAATTAGGACTTTTTTTTAAAATTCTTCTCTCTAGGTCTCGTAGTCCTCATAGGAGACATTCTAACCGTGCCAATAGGAATTCAACAAGTTCATTGACTTCTGTTGGTAAGAAGAGATTACTCATTTAAGCTGGGATGTTTTCTCAGAAAATGTGGCATGCAGTAAAGACTGAATTATGGAGTCTGACTGCACTGACTACAGTTTTTTCTTCTGCACCCTATGTAATGTGTCCCTCACAGGGAATACTACTGGCATGTTGAATTTTGTAAGCGAATTGCATGCAGAGTGACTCAGGGAAATATGTGTATTATTAGATTGCTGCATTAGCTTAACATTTTTAGAAGGCTGAAGATGTATGTGCTTTAAATTCTTGTTGAATGGAGACTACTATTCAGTAATAATGGGTTTTGTTACTTTTGAACTTACTTGCTCAAGGAAGGTAGAAATTACCATGTCTTGCAAATCTTCTCTTTTGCTGGCAGAGGGAAAGTGTCATGGAAGGGCCATCTCTCAAAATTCTAACACACAAATCTTGGTTCAAACCAAAACAGATATTTCATTGAAAATAGGTTGCTTTAAGAATATTCACTCTGTGGGCATGATATTTGACAGCCTTAAAATTGATGTAAATTTAAAGAAATTAAAGCCAAAGCACCACTCCCTTCCCCCCAAAAAATCAACCAAAACCCAATAAAGAAACAACCCCACACCCACAAACCAAAAACCCTTGAATTTTTGTTGCTTACTCATGTCCTTAGCTTTTCTGAAAACTGGTGGTTCTGTAATGGCTCTTGTCAAATTTTAAAATGTTTTTCTTATATTACCTGATGACTTTCCTCCTTCCCCCCCATCCAAGCTGTTCTTTAGATGCTTGTAAAAGCCATTTATACCAACTCACAAAGTTGCCTTTCCGACAACTGGCTGCCTTCTTTGCTTCATCACTGAGAATTGTAAAAATTGGTGCTCAAAGTTTCGTGTTTTCAAACCACCTGGAAGCCAGGAATTAATGAGTTCATTCTACAAATAATTAAAATTGTTTAGAAAACAATGCATTAACCTAAAGGCCTAAATGTAAGGCAGTGACCTTCAGTTTGTGGTCCATGCACCCTCCTGGGTCACTTACCTAACATCAACATAAATGTGCATGAGGAAAAGCAATCTCTTACAACACCCTCTTTAACCCTTGGGTATTCTAATGGGTATTCTATTGGGAATTTTGCTTTGGAAAATTCTTGCAGGTCCACCACATGCTAGAGATTGATTTGCTTTTTGAAACAGCTTTATAATTCTTGGGCTTTAGCTACTCAGCTCCTGCCTGCATCTTTGCCAGGTGCAGCTTTACTGTTGCTTCTGCATTTGTGGGAAAAGCTCTTCTGTCTGCATAGAATAAAACTCTGCACTTTAGTTATAGATTATTTCGTTTAATCACCTGTTTCTTAAAACTAGTGTGCATAAATCTTTGCCTGGTGAATTTGTGGGATCTTAGCCTTGAAAAACTGAACATACAGATTCCAGGAAAAGACTCAATCTACAACAGAAATGCCATGACTGTTAGTTGAGATGGATCTAATGCCACTTCTATTTAGAAATTAGAACAACTGTATTGGGGACGGTGCTGAAAAAAGCAGTTTCACATATCAGAGCATCTTTCATCATAGGAATTTAATCTTAGTGGGTTATCTGTGTTTTGGAGGACTTGCTCTAAACTTGAGAATATAACATTAGAAATGAGCAGACATTAATGTTTGTTAAATGCAAGCTCAAAGCTAAATTCATAGGTGTTACTCCAACATGCCACAGTATATCTGGAAACTGGAGGTACAGCTCTAATTCTGATGTTTTCTACACAGACAACAGCGGGCACGTGATTGACCTGGTAAATGATCAGCTACCAGATGTCAAAATCTCAGAGGAAGACAAGAAGAAGAACCTTGAGTTACTAGAAGAGGCAAAGAAAGTGAGTGAGAGGTTTCTGATGCGCAGAGGCAGAAAGTCAAGGAGCAGCCTCCCAGAGTCACCCACGGGTAGGTGCAGATTCTGAAAACAGGATTGTATATTCTACTTCAAACAAGTACTACTGTAATCCATACATTGCTACTGTTTACATACACTTTGTTCATTTGATGCTCAGAATCCCTCTGCCCCTCTCATTATTCCGTGTAAAACAGAAATGACCGATCTCTGTATTCAGATGTGTCAGTGGAAAACGTTGTGAAGTTTTTAAGTGCCTGAATGTCACACTGCAAATACTGTAACAAGAAAGCATGAGGTATTTCTATTGAAATCTAAAAAATGGTCACAAATTACTGTTTGTGGGTATTTTCTTCCTAATGCTTCTACTGTACATTAAATGAAATTTTAATGATTCATACTGCTGATAAAACATTACCCCAGACATAATTACAGACTCTTATTCTGATCATAGTCATAAACTAAGCTAAATGAACCAGATCATACTTTGAAAACAGCAGAATAAAATGTTTTGTTCTAGAATGTCAATTGAAATTATTTTTTTCCCCTTATATGAAGTGTTTGAAAACTGGAACAAAGTGCCATTTTACCATGAAATAGGACTTTCATTTAGCTTTGAAAAGCCAGTTCAAACAAAATTTTGTCTTAAAATTGGCTTGACAGTTTCTGGAGGGGAAAAAAACCCCACAGCTACACTTACTAGAATTAAATTTTCTTTTTTTCCTAAATTCCACCTGAATCCTGCTTTATGCTACTTCTCTGCAATGCTTACAGTATCAGAAAACTGAGGAGAACAAGGATTCTCTGTATCAACAAAATAGTGTTAGTTTTTGGCAGGTATAAAAAATAAAACATACTTAAAGTTCCTAACTTACTTAAAATTACTTGTCAGGTTCTGGAAAAACATATGACTGATGACTATGATATTCATGCTTTAATCTTATCTGAATTTTAAAAATTCAGAAGCTGCAAGCCTAGAAAGTAAAGTTACCTTTTTTTTTTTGTTTTTGTCTTTTTTCTAATGAAGCAGTTTCCCCTACTCTTAGTCCTAAAGTTTCACCAGTAGCATCTCGGAGCAACTCTCTCACTCTTCCAGTTCCATCAGGTAAAATGATCATAGAATAGGTAAGGGTGGAAAAGACCTCTAAGATCAACAAGTCCAACCATTTTCAGGTTCAAACTTTAATTTATAAAAGCTCACACACACAAAAAAATTAATATTTGTTGAGGAGAAGTCAAGGGTAGATTTAAGTCTCTACTCTCGAATATTATAAAACCCATGAATGTATATAAAATACAGTTTTACATATATATATTTAATTATATTCTTATTCCTGTGGTGCTGCAAGGTTACATGTTCTACTTTTTAAACCATTCGGTAATGGCATTTTGAGAAGCTTTAATGATCTTTCACTTACTATATTTTTGAATATTTTTTTTCCTTTAAATTAGGTTTTTTGACATTTAAATTTTTTCCTTTCTATATTATGAGGAACTGTGCACATATGTGTTGCTAATGCTGTAGAGGTAAAAACTGAGCAGAATATCAGAATATGCCCTAATTATGTGTGTATCTTTCCAGGGTCTGATGCATGCACAACCACTAGTACTGAGTCAGTATCTCCAGGGCAGGTAAGAGCTGAATAGTCTGGGCAGTAACCTGGTTTTTAAAGTACTATAATAGTATGTACTGCCCTTTTAGTCCCCAGGGAAATGGGATGTTTGGAATACTGGTTTATATACAGCAAGATTGGATTATTGATATGTTTTTTCTGCAGAGCGAGGGACTAATAAGTGTTTACTCTGAAGACAAAAATCCATGAGGTAACAAGTGCTGAAAGATCATAAAGATCTGTTAAGTGTAGAAAATAGAAGAAGATCCAATATAATCCTAATCTACAAAAAAATAAATAAATGTGACAAGCAATGTAAAAATTAAGAGATTCAAAGTTCATCCATTAATATCTATATCTAACATTTGCAGCATAGATGTGAAAGATAACCCTGTAAGGCAATTCTTTCTTCCCTTTTTTTCCTAGAATAACAGAACTGTGAAAGAGGATGACAGGCAAACTGCAGAGGTAAGTGTTTCATGTTAAGAGGTGAACAAAGTCTGCTGGTTGTGTCTTAACACATATGACTTGTTTCTGTGACTAAAAACGCTGAAAAACTGTTCAGTGAATGAAAAGAAAATTATACTGCTCTAGGAAATTGTGAAGCACCTGCAAATGTGGTTGAGGACAGTGAGCCTCCAGCTGGTCTTTACATCCTATAATGCACCCTGCACTAGCTCAATTAAAATCAATACACTAAATGACTTTAGAAGTAAAGCAAAAATATCTACCATAGCCACTTTGGTGTATGCCAGTGTTTCAGACAGACATCCTTTTCCAGACCCCTTTGGTTCAGTGGAAGAGGTTACTGAACCTTGTGTTCCTTACCACTGGGGGGATGTTACTGCTCCACACAACTACCAGTGGAGAAGTTTATATGAATGTTTCCTAATTTGTTTTAGGTGATATTGGTTAAAGAGGTTTCTCTGTGTGTGGAATGGGCCACACTCACAAAACCCACTATGGCAGCAGAGTTTTGGAGCAGTAACTATAAAGGAGAGGAGCAGCAAGATATCTAAGGCAGAGCCCATGGTCAGATTGTATGTTGGTGGCCTTAAATTGCTGACACAGGTACCCTTAGACAAAATACAGATTCTGCACCAAAGGAGCCAAGGTATAGGCAAAAATTCTTCTCCTGTAGAGATTGCAACCAAATTATCATCTGTGGTACTGCACACAAAGAAAGAAGAGAGAAATTACAATATGTGCTTTAATGTGGTGTACAAGCCCATGGGGTTTTGTTCCCTTGGGAGGTGAGGGACTAACAGAAAAGAGACAAAGGAAAGTAACAGTGCTGTAAGACACAGGGTTAAAGGTGTGTGTTCAGACAAACCTTACATTAAAATGATGAGGAACTTGGCTGTGAGGGCATTGCTGTCATGGAGTCTGGAATGGGAGAGGTTAACTCAAAAGTTCAGAGAGGAGATTCCCAATTCAGTATTCCTTAAGTGCCTTTTAAAAATTATTTCTTTTGTCAACAGCACATGTTTAAAAGCAAATGTCACTGAAAAGGAAATGGCTTTTTACAGTGAAAATCTGTCCTTGGGCGGGAGAACAGAGGAATCTGGATTTGTTTCTTTGTTTTATGTGTATCCCTCTACTTTCAGAATGCTGCAAAAGGATTAACTGATCGAAGGCAGAATGATCAAAGAAAGATTTCTCAGGGAAGGTTGGTTCCTCGTTCTGCTGGTTTTGAAAACTCCAAAGAGAAGCTATCTGACCAAAAAGAAAACTTTGATCCATGTAAACATATGGATACTTTACCCAAATGCTCCCCTTCAGGTGGTGATGGTGGCAGAATGTCTCTTAATACTTGCATGAATGTTTGTGAAAATGAACTTGGAAAATCATTCCTCAAGAAAGGAAAAGAAAATGATGTTCCTTTAAGAACCCATCTACCAGGACCAGGGATAGGAAATATGGACTCAAAGCTAAGAATGCCTATTCCAGAAATGAGGGACCACAAAGTTTCATGTAAACCAGAATTTAAACTGTGTGGACTGCGTCCTCCTCTGCTACGGGCTGTGTCATGGGACAGCTTGGAGCCTGGGCAGAAAGAGAAAACACCTTCAAAATTACCATCTGAGGAAGATAAAAGCTTTGCTGGTAATAAACCCAGCAATCAGGTAAAAGCATTCAAAGACCTTCAAATCCAAGTTCAACCAGTTCGAATGCAGAAGCTGACAAAGCTCAGAGAGGTGAGTCCTAACCACTTGTATCCTGTTTTAAAGATGTTTTCATATCTTGCTAAACTTCCAACTTGCTTAGCATTATTTTTATCATTGCAAGATACATATAGTGATATAGTAGGAAACAGTTTCAGCAAAATCAACACAGAATTGTATCATGTTTTTCCTTTGCAACTTTAGTAAATTGTAACCTGTAAGTAATTCCATGGAATTATTTTATTTCAACACGCATCAAGTGCACTGTGGTATCTTCAGTATGCATGTATGTGCTCTGGCACATTGTCATACTGAAAGAATGTACTAATTGCTTTCAGTCTGACAGAAAGGTGAGTCTACAACACAGTATAGCTCATTTTTTGCATCATTTACATGACCTATAAAGAGAAAGCAACCGATTAACAATTGTTTTATTTGTAAAACGTACATGGGACTAAATTGATCTAATTTGATTTTTGAAGAGAATTTTAGACCTGAAGTTCCTTCCTCAGGACTTAACAACATTCTCTTTAAAAGAGTCACTTATGCTTTTTTACTTCCTTTGCTTCCCTGTGATATGCTTTTTCTGCTCTTTCAGAATTGTCCTCAGATCCACAGGCTCTCACAATATAGTGACTAATTGTTTCATTTCTGTATGAGTGGGCTGAGACCTCTGCATAAACAGAAATCTGTTACTGAAGTTTGGAGTTACTGTACTCTTGTATAAGGGCTTACAAGCCTTTGTGTATCATATATTGTTTGTAAACTTCATTAGGATTTAAAATTCACTTTTACCTTGTTCAGCTGAGTGTCTTTGAGTCCTGTGTTGGTTGGTACTCTCCCTTCTGAAGGCAGTAGTCCTGTCATACCAGCCTTTGCAATAACATTACAGTTGCAGGTCTGAGGGGACAGTAAATGGTTTTGGTAGGATTATTTGCTTATTGAACATTCTCAAAAAATGTCTCAAAGTGTCCAGAGCTGTAAAACTGGGGGTCTCTGAGGGCAAGGGCAGGTAGTGAATGTCCAGACTCACAGTTCCTAATTCTAACATGATGCAAATGTGTCAGAATCCAAAAGAATAGACTTGGACACTGTGGTATCTATAAACTAATTGTTAAATAATTGTCTAAATGATTAGTAAAAGTTAAGAATTAAACCCTAAGAAAAAAGGCAGAAATGTCATGAAATGATAAACCACCATAAGAAAGCAACTACCATGTCTTTATTACAGGAATGTCCTTTGAAAGAAAAAAAAAAGTAGTAGTAGGTACTTTCCTGAACAGCTTAATAAGAATATTTTCTTTGATTCCCAGTAGTCAGTGTTTTAAGCTGAACAAAGGGCTGACAGGCGAGGACCTCAAATTCTGCCCTTTGGTTAATTCATTCTCATTGTATTGGGAATGGCAGCTCAGCTACTCATCTTTTCCTGTTTATATAACACACATAGTCTTAGTGTACATGTACTGTAAGTTTTGATTACAGAGACACTTGAGCAATATAATGTTGGAAGAAAGTCTTCACTGTGAGGGTGGTGAGGCACTGGAACATGTTGCCCAGAGAAGCTGAGGATGCTCCATTCCTGGAAGTGCTCAAGAACAGGTTGGATGGGGCTTTGAGCAACTTGGCCCAGTGGAAGATGTCCCTGGTCAGGGTTTTGATCTCAATGATTTTTAAGATCCCTTCCAAACCAAACCATTCTATGAGTCTAAGATTCTCTAGTTCTGAATGGCCTAGAAGTTGCTAAGCACAAATAACAGAATTAAAAAATTAATACAACACGATATGTAATTCCACTTAGGTGAGCTTTGAACTTTGCCTCCAGCAGGAATTGTCTACTCACAAACAAAAGCAGGTGTTTGTGAATTTTAAAAAATGTGTGAGAATATGAAAGAGATGATAAAAGGAGAAATAATACAACAAGATTTAATTCCGGAGAGCATTTTTCCCTACCTGTAAGGAGTAGGGGCAGAATACAGTGACAGTGAAGCATTAACTTGCAGCTGTAGCATCCCAAGCTCTGGTCTTAATCAAGTCAAAGTGGCCAAGTCTCATATATATGATTTTCTGAATTTTCTGTTTTCTGGGATGCTTAGTGGTTAATGGATCTATGTCCAAAATTGCTTTTTTTCACTCCCAATTACTAAAACTCTCTTTTTCAAAACTCTGTATTTCTATTTGAGTAAGGGGCACATTTTGCAAATCTCTGTTTGCATGACCAGGATTTTTTCTAAATAATGCCTGCATGAAATGTGAAATACGTAATAATTTAAAGTGTGTGTGAATGTCTGTGTATCTGTGCTATGTAGCACCTGACTATAAGTTAATATAGATAATCTGCATTATGTTTATTAACTAAAGTAAATGTTATATTCACTGTTCACATGGAAGGGATATTTAAACTGAGATTTCTAGTTCAGTTACTTAGATATGTTACTATTTTTCTTAACAGGAGCATATTTTGATGAGAAATCAAAATTTAGTTGGACTTAAACTTCCTGAACTTAGTGAAGCAGCTGAACAGGAAAAAGGTGCAGTATCATAAAAGCTGAAAGGAGTGTTTGTTATACACTGATTCTTATAATTGACTGTTGGAGGGGTGGGAGGAAAAGTCTTTTTGTTCAGTTGCAACAGTAGTTGAAGCAGTCATGGAGAAAGGTAATAAATGGTGATTAAGAGAGACCAATAATCAAACTACCTGAATTTCTTGATGACCTGAGCCAAGAAGATGCTGTAGGTATTATTACAACCAAGTGAAAAGATGCACATGTGGAACTGAGTCTATTTTGGACATAATAGCTGGAGGACTGCCTTGAGCTTCAGTGGCTTTCTGTAAAAACTCTTCAGCAGTGATGGATTGAATGAATGTGACCTCTGCAAGATATGGTGGTCAGAAGGGTGAATTTAATGCTTGGGAGTATAAACAGGAGAGAGAATGCTTTATTCCTGCTTTTTTATTTTAGTATATGTGTGGCAAGCATTGAAATGGCATTTTCACTTCTGGTACACATTTCTATGTCAATGTTATTAGAAAGAGTAAGGCCACAGAAGAGTCATAAATGTGATTGAAGGATTGGGAAAATTTGCCTTGCCTAAGGGGGATTTTTTTAAGCTCAATTTCTATGATATTTAAGGAAAAATAAAGGAAATGGTTTTTTAAGGAAAAGGCTTAAAACTCTACACAAATGAGGAAAAAGAAATCCGGCACCAAATGGTTTTTTTCCAAACTAATGCAAGCACAAGAGATTTAATGCATCTAAAAAGATTCAGGGTAAAAATAAAGAGCAAAGATATAAACCTGAGGACAGTTCAACATGTGGAAGGATTAAATAGCAATAGTGCTGAGCTATCAAACGAAAATATTTACACCAAAACTGTGTATTTCTTTGAAAGTAGTAAAGTCAGGACTTGTTCAGAGTGTTTTTAAGGCCACATTAACTGAAACTGATTGTCCAAAATCTGATCCAAAGACAATCTCAATTTTTCTTAATGCTGTTCATTTTGCTAATTCATAGATCTGCTTTGGGACTATTTCATAAGGCCTTAAGTTTCTGTTACACTGAGAGGTGGTTGAGGCATTTCATGTTACCTCTGAAAGAGACTCATCTTCAGTCTGAATGAAACAACATTAAAAGACACTTCTTCTCCTCTATATTTAGTGATTATAGCTTGGGATTCTTAGGGGTGATAATATTATTCCTGTCACTCTGCTAATATGTAATTTCCTGGAAATTATTTAGCAGACTCTGTTTGAAAATGTAAAATAGTTGCCATTTTACCAGCTCGTTGGATAATTTTTTCAGGTTTGAAAGTTGTGAGCAAAACATTATGAAAAGCTAAGCATTATTTTATCCAGCTTTCCAGCCAAGATCTCATGAGCATCACAAGTTTTTTAGAGTCCAGTAACTTATCTAAATGATAGCCAGAACATTAAGGGTCAACTCTTTGTCCTCAGTGGGGAAAACAAGCGAGGGATCAAATCCTTAGTTCATTTTTTAGGGAGACTTCCTTACATTGTCATAAAAGCCATCTTATGCTTTTTAGCTGGAGTAGAATTCTGCTTAAAGAGTAGGAAACAGCCAGATACTTCATTATTACTGTTATTAATCCAATATACTGTCTCCATGATGTTTTCTATCAATGACAAGTTATTGTGATCATCTGAGTAAACACAACTTTGCATCTCCAGAAGTTTAGATAAGTGCAATAAATTACATCTGGAGACATTGTGGTGTCAGGCTGCATTTCATGGGGAAACACATGACTGTTCTTAAGACAATACTGGAATTTTTTAATATAAAGGAAATATAAAGCACATAACTAAAATGTAGCTAGAAAGAATATCCCATTTTGTGCTGAAATTCATGCTCTCTGCATTTACAAAATTTGAGCTTTTTCACACTATTTGTTTTGCAAGTCTAAGAATCTTTCTGTTACACCTAATGAAAAGCAGACATGTACAAAGTTACCTTCCCAAGTCTGAGATTCAAACTGGGGAACCTGCCTTTCCTACAGGAAGGTCCTTCAGTAAATTCTGGCAAGATAGGAGGAGAGAAGGGAATCATTATATATAAAATTAAATAAAATTAAAATACAAAAGCTAAGTAATATGAATTAAAAAAAAAAGTTTGAGCCATACTCGGTCCTTATGAAAGTGATAGAAGTAGAGAAAGTAAGGATAATCTTTATGTTGTGTTTCAATGAACATGCAATGAAATGAGTGCATGTTGTAATTCATTACCATAAATGGTGCACAAAATCTCTAGTATAGTACATTACACTAGAGTTCATCTTGGTAGGTGGCATTTAAAGCCTGAGGAAATGACAGTATTCTCCTAGAAAATCTCATGTCAAATATTCCAGAAATGATGTAAAGCACAAATGCAAAACATTAGGTTAGAAGTTCAAGGGCTGAATCTCCATTCAGTTTGAACTCTAGGAAAAATACTAATACAAAAATTATTTTTCAGTGCATTAGAGACTGTCAGAGCACATCTTACTTCAGTTTTTCAATGACGATTTTGCAGATTACTTTTGTTGTCACTCCTCAAGAGGAAGACAGGGAATCTTTAGCTGTAAAGGAGGGATGAGTGATGTATCACCACATGCAACAGAGGAAGTAACATTCTGCATGAAGGGATAGACCTTTACTTTTTGTTCAGTATTGCTCCCAGTAGAGTTGGGTGGAAGCCTCACCGATTTTAAAAAGGACACAGTTAAGCTAAGAGGTCCTATTTGCCTCTGAGATGCTGACTTTTAATAGTTAATGCATGACTTTTCAAATAACATAATTTTTTTTTTTAAATCTGAAAATGTCTTCAGGCCCTTCACCTCTCCCTTCCCCCACTGAAGAGGAAGAGCCAAAGAATAGCTCTGATGTCATGCCCAGCATTCCTGATGTATTGCTGCGAAAACTACGCGTGCACAAATCGCTTCCAGGAAGGTAAAAGCTCAGTAGAAGTGGAAAGATCATCCGGGAGAAGGAACACTAATGGGTTCCAGTGAACTCCCTTTATGGAGTTCCATTCATAGAGGTCCATACAAGTAGATACATCTCTGCATCTTAAAATGTGCAACACGGATTTTCTGAAAAATTTTGAAGAGGGCACCAGCTTCCAGTAACCGGCCAACTTTTAAAATCAGTTTGTAAACTCTACATAAAAAGTCTGAAACCTAAATTTCCTGTTACAAGTAGATTTTAATATGGACTTTTCCACTCCTGGCTTCCAGGATTGCTGCTGCAGGTATAAATTCATGTTGAAAGCATTGGTATTTCTCTCCTCCAGAAAAATAATCAGGGCAGATAATGCTTACCCATGGTAGAATTGGGGCAGGTAAGAATTCTGCAATTTTCCTGCAGGTGACAATTTTTCGGGGAAATTGAGTTTATTTTGCAAATGTAGTTGAAAGACTCACTTGCAAATTCACTGATTTGGGCTTTGCAAGACATTAAAACAATTCAAAAAATATTTGGCCAAAACTAATTCCTACATTCACCCAAGTGTTTTTGTTCCAAAAACGCCAGAGGCCTTCAGTCATTTGAAGCGGTCAATAAGTGTCCTCTGTGCCAATGAAATAAATATTTAACATTTGTCATGAAGGAACTGTTATATACAATATTTTATGTAAATGAATGCACAAGGTGAAGAAGTTCAGAGAGAGCACTGCTTGATTGTAATCAGTACTGAAATGTAGTGGAAAACTCATAAACCTCAAGCATATGTTACATTGTTCTTTTCAATCAAATATTAGAATATTTGATTGAACAAAACACATTAAAACGTGATTTTTTTGCTTTTATTTCTAGCTCCCCTCCACTTACTGAAAAAGAAGTTGAGGTAAGTATGTTCCTAAACTTAATTATTTTGGGCATAAGCCTCAATTTTAAGTGGTTACTGTAAGTCTAGGGTGGTTATTAGAGCAAGGTAATGGGATGATTCTTTTTCCCAAAAAAATATTTCTCAGAAAAAAACATTTTGACCTCAATCAACATAACGACTTTGTGAAAGAAGAGCCACATGAACTGTAAAAAGACAGAGTAGGAATAAGCAAAACATTTGTATGTGCGTTTTCCATAATAAAATAGGCATTCATTTTGGAAATTATTATAATATATACATAAAGTAGTGAAAAAATTGAGATTAAATGGGAGCAGAAACTAAACAAGTTAAATTGCATTTTTATTGGCCAATAAGAGCTTTGGGGCAGTTTTTAATAATGTCTTGCTGTTAGTTTACATAGTTTTTGCTTTCTCAGTTTAAGCCAATAATTTTGTTTGCAGGTTGCTCTTTAACTTGCAGGCTTTGTTTCTTTTTCTTTTTGATATACCAGTCAAGAAAATGACCTTTATTTACATAGATACATGGAACTATCGGTGCCTTGTGCTTTGCAAAGTATTAATCCTAAGAAATAACGTGTCTGGTGAAGAAAGAAACAATCTTTAAAAGCAGGGTGCAAGAGAATAAAAACGTTAGCACTTAATCTTTCTCTGGCTTCAGTGGTAGGTGTTTATCCCTGAGGTAAAACAATGCTAATGCTGAGCTCATCTCTGGACTTCCTCTGCACAGACTATCTGTTTAAAAACCTTGGGGACCCTTGGAGGAAGTCCAGCTAGAAAACAGATCCATTGTGATTCTGGTGCTTCTGGTAGGCTACTTCCTTCATTGTGTCTCTGCTCTACTGAGCTCCCAGAAAAACATTCAGGAAAAGAGGCAATAGCACATTTACTCATGATTTAGTGGAAGTAAATAGAAGTGACTTTTGAAACAAAATAATTTTCAAAAATATCTTCAGTTTTCCGTTTCAATACTTATTTAAGCACCGAAGTTTGTTAAACACATACCTATTAATAAACTGTTATTGGAAATTACATTGCTGTGAGACTTATTGAAAAAATGCCTTTTTTTAATCCAAACAGAATGTATTTGTACAACTTTCCTTGGCCTTTAGAAATGATAGTTACACGTTGGAATCTAGAATTAACCAAGCAGAGAGAGAGAGAAATCTTACAGAAGAGAATGCCGAGAAGGAACTGGAAAACTTTAAAGCAGCCATTACGGTAAGAAAACAACAGGAATTCTTTTCCTGAACTGTAGTGTCCATGGAAGTGCACACACACTGGAAATATGCATGACTATTCTTTCTTACATGTACTGTAAATTCAGCCCCAAAACTTCATTTTCTGCTGCTCAAGCTCCTTACTGTGAGCTGCCTACCAGAGAGCATTTTCTGCCACAGTAGGCCACCATTGCTGGAAAGGCACAGGGGATGTTGCCCTACATCTGGCAGATTTCAGGAATAAATACTATTAACTTGCTGGTCAGTTCTGAAATGGTCTGAAACCTGAGTCCTGACATTTGCACCTTGAAAGATGCAGATACAAGAAGGTGGTACAGGAAAGGAAACAGTGAGGGAATGCATGCACCCTCACAATCAGGTTTTGGGCCTGAGTACACTTCCATTCCAGCTGTTCCTGATGTAGCAGCAGTTTTCAGCCCTTCCTGCCAGCTTTCTCTGCATTTTCCAACTGAAATGACAAATATATCTCTGAGATGTATCAACCTATGTGCTGCACATGTTTCTGTGCAGAAAAGGGAAGGGATGGTTAGATGCCATGCTGCTAAATGAAAGATATAGACCCAATTTGTACATTACAAGGAAGTGTTGCCATTCTTATGAGAAATAGTGAGGAAAACATGTATTTCTCCAATTTACATTATCAAGTACGTCATCAGGTAAGAAAGCATACTATCAAAAAGATACTTACATCTTTTCATCTGTAACTTCAAATCTGCATTTCCAGATTAATTGTTTCGGGGAAAAAAAACCCAGATGTTTTGAATGTTTTGCTGCTCTTCCCTCTGTTCTCTTCGTAAAGAGCAAGCAAAAACAACCTATTAAATCTCAGGATTTTCAGACTGAAAAAATGTCTGTTAGGTTTGCCGTGTATTTCTCTTAAGAACCCCTAATTAGGCACCAAGGACCACGTTGCCAGCATGGGACAGATGTGATTAGCTTTTTCTTCCTCTGTGCAGTTCACACACTACAGTCTGGCTTTTACAAGCTTTTTTATGTAATTTATAACCGAGTGGAAACTGCCATTCCTATGAAAGCTTCTGTTCTATACAATGGAATAAACTAACAAGCAATTAAATGTAGTGATCATTTCTCTGTAATCTCTATCATATTAGACCCAGACTTGTTCCAATCTCATTGAGATGTTATCTTCATTTCTGTAGGGCAGGCATACGTTATATGGTTCAATGACAGTTTTACCAGTCTTTCTGATTCTTTTAATCAATCTGGTGATAACTGATGTTTGTTATTCAAAAACCTAACTTCCAGAGAAAGCTGATCTACATGAACTTCGATTTGTTCAAGAAAATAAGCAGGTTACAGCCGCCAAGGAAAAAAATGGAAAATCTGAAATTCTGTGCATGATTTTTCTCAGACAGATTCTTCCTTTATGCCTTCTTGGTTCTTGCAGTCAAATTTTGGTTGCAATTTATTATCAAAGTAGCTTCCATGATAAATAAGTGTAAAAAATTTTTGTGGCTGCAAATGTTGTTGTGCCAGATTCATCAGTCTCTTGGCTGTGTTTCTACACCAAAGGTTCGCACTACAAATGTGATTTCTGAAACAACTTTACTCAAAAGTTACCATGCATCATTCCACTCTTTTGAGGTGAGGGAGAAAAAGAGGAGCAGAGGTTATTCTTTTCTCACATCTTTTCAACTCCTTGACTTACTCTTGCAGCAATGCAAGTGAGGGGTTGCAGAGGACTAGGGGACATTGCAGCTGGACAGAGGGAAAATATGTGGACAGCAGCACAGTGATTAATTACTTAAAACAACCTCATTGCCAAAACTATTCCATCCTAAAAATGTTCTTTTAGAATATAGAAATCATGCAGCATGACAAAGTCTGCCTGTAAGACTAAACTAAATTGTATAAGGTTGTCTCATAACAAATTTCTCTGTGAACAGAAAATGTATTCAGTGAAGAGATATTCTCTAAGGCTTTGGCTAATAAAACATCTAAATGCATTCTTGCTTTTGGGAACCAATCCCAAGGAATTTATGTGCTTTGATGTTTTCCAGTGTTAATCTGTGCTGTCAAAGTGACAGTATTAATCCAGTGAATGGATGTGCCTATTGACTGACAAAAAGAGGTTCAGAAATTGCAATTGCCATTTGATTTACAGGCTACGTTATTTTTCTAATTATTCTTTTACATCTGGAATTCTTGAGACTATAATGTCTCATGTTCCAAATGAAAGTGGAGTATCACGACACTGAAAGGAGATGCATGTCCTTCTTAACACCCTGTGCCCAGGAAATTAAAATGTTTGTGCTTCAGGAGTGATTTTTAAGTGCTAGTTCAAATAAACTTGTCATCTGTAAAGTGCATAGGCAGTGAGGCACGATTCATAATAAACTTCAGGAGGGAGAGTGTTGCAAATGTGCTGAGCCCTCTTTAACTCCTGAAACAGCAGCAGCACTCTCTAGGTCGTCTGTGGTGGTAGTGCTGGCATTCCTTTGGGGCCACTCTGCCCATGGCTGGTTCTGCCTGGACATTTTAACCCCTTTTTGTGGCTCTGGCTACTTCATTCGAAAACTAGAAGTGGCAAGACATGATGATAAATCTTATGTATTTCCCCTCCAGTCCTCAGCTCACCTGTGGCACCACTATGAGCACAGGGAAGCTTACCAGAAGCTGCTGGAGGACATCGCTGTCCTGCGGCGTTTGGCTGCCAGGCTGTCGAGTCGCGCCGAGATGGTCGGAGCCGTTCGCCAGGTAGGAACATCCTGGTGTTTAACCTGTATCCCACCTGCACTTGTTCCCTCTCTCTCTTTTTCAGCCATAGCTAGAGGTTACACTCGCCCTTTGAGTTTTATTTGCCCTTCTGACAGATTAAAAACGTTTATTGCAGCGTCAGATAAGACACCATTTCAGTCTGGAAATAAGATTCAAACAGAAAAAGGTTACCCACTGAGCTATTCAACATCTGTACAATAGGAACATTATTCTGAATGCATTATTCAGAACTACAGCTGTATCACATGAAGCTTAAATCAGTGCAGCACTAGTAAGAAAACTTTTCTGGGTCAAAAAGCTCATCCAGTTCAGTCACCTGCCTTGGGCAGTGGCTCAGTCAGACAACTATAAAGAGTATAAGAACAGAGCGAGTATAAATGAGAACACAGCAATATCCACCCAGGTTCAAGACTGTTCCCTTTTAAGCAACCAGACTGATGCCAGTGACTAAGACCCTTGAGGGTTTGAAAACCAATGTAGCATGCCACATAACTAATCAGATGGGCACACAAGCAGGCTGTATAAATACATGTCAACATAAATTATGATATTCTGATGAATGCATGTGCATTTGTCTTTAACTAGCTTAGGAATTAGTTGTGGAGGTACCAATATTTCTTAAAGAACAGCTATTCCAGATTTAGCCCTGACAGGGAGCATAGATATAAAGGCAAATGATTTGTTGGAGGCATGTAGAGTTTAACTGGGTATTTCTTTCTTTTCTTCCTTAGGAGAAACGCATGTCAAAGGCAACAGAAGTAATGATGCAGTATGTGGAAAATCTGAAAAGAACATATGAAAAGGATCATGCTGAACTAATGGAGTTCAAGAAACTTGCCAATCAGAATTCTAGCAGAAGCTATGGTGCATCTGGTAAAAAAAATTACAATTTAAGGGTTTGTCTTGCCTCTATACAGGGAGATATTGGTGCTCTTAATGATTAAAAGTGAAGCACCATGAACCCTATTCATGAAGTTCTGATGTACTGGAGTAGATTTTAAAAAGCTGGAGAAATAAGTTCAAATGTTTCATGTGTGCTATAGTACAGTAATTTGAAATCACTTTCACTTACCAAATTCTGATGAGATTCAATGACATTTTCATTGGCCTCTTTCACATGCACATAGCCTGTGCAATTTTAATGCAAAGGTGATGGATAACGGCAAAATTTCATTATTTAAAACTTTTTTTTTTTTTTGCAACCTTGTCTTTTCTGTGCTGGAAACTGAAATATAAGTATTTTATTTTGCAAGTATCTATATGTGGAAGTAGATAGTGGCCTTTTGCCTGATCTCAGTAAAGATACTAAAGGTTTGATTTTTGCAATTATTTCAAATTTCTTCTGCAGCTTTCTTCTGAAGCTGAGATCAGAACTGCATGACAGATAAATATGTGGTCACTACAGACCTTGTATAAATATACTGTATCTGAGTTTGAAATACAAGCAAAGGCTGTATTTAAGGCTGTTTTTTATCTTTTTCTATGTAGAAGATGGAGTGCCTCGTTCATCTAGATCCATGTCTCTTACTGTTGGAAAGGTAATTCTACAATATTAAAAAAAGTGAGCATTTAAGGTAGTGAAATGTCTTTGTGTACCTGTGCTCCAGAGAATGGCTTAGGTCCTGTGCTTTGTTCTGGATCCTCAGTGAGAAAACTGAACATGGGATCAAAACTTACCATATGGTTCAGGATTCCATGACCACAACATTTTCATTATCTTAAGAATTCTACCATGGTCAGAGCACCTTAGGTGGGAGCAGTTATTTTGTAAGTGGGGCTCATTTTTCAGTTAGCATCAAAGTATCTTGTTTGATTTGACAAAGTATTCAGAGTGAGAGACCATCTCAGATTGTTTTTGCTTGACCCATTAGGAGCTTCAACATGTCCAGTGTTTCATTTCTGCAAAAATTCCAAGTGTTGGAGATAAAGTTTATTACAAAACTTGCTAAAACAATCAGTGATTTGAGAGATATGAGTCCCAGTGAGGCCATTAGGAAATTTGGTGGTCAGAGGCATTATACTCAGTCTACTGTTTATTTTCATATTTTTATTTGTTTAGGTTGTAGTTCCTCAGATTTAGTTTATTCCTGCCACATTTGAGTGTTGGGTATAAAGAATTAGAGCACAGAGCCTGCTAAGGGCAACACTGGATTTCAGAATGAGAACCAGATAAGTTGAAACGGAAGTCCCAAAAAAAGATTAAATTTAAGAAGGACAAGCCCAAGTAATAAAGAGGGGGGAGAAAACCCCAAAACACTAAAACGGTCTGCCTAAGATGGCTGAAGACTCCTTTGTGTAGTTTTGTGGCAGTAAATTAAATAAAATTGTCATTAATGAATAGGTACCGTTGGTTTAGTCTAGAACCACGATCATGGAGTAGGTGACTCCTCCTATGTATTTACTAAATCTGTGTTTAGCTCCTTTCCTGTAAAGTTGTCTAAACCAGAAGTGTTTGGATTTGCAGTGAAACAAAGCTGTTAGATGCTGTAAGTGTTTTGATGTTTTTACTCAGTTGGAAGCCCAGATTTTACATAGATTTTATAGGTTGAAGCATTTAGCTACTTACCAAATGACAGCAAAAACTTAAGTGATCTGTACTTGAGCTCGAATATGTTGTGTACAGCTTGCAGGTGTTTGTCATATAAAGAATGCTCATGATCCTTGGGAAATGTAAAGCAATGTCACATGGTGGTATCTAACAACTCAAGGGTGGGGGAGAAGGGGATGTTCCCAGGACATTCCTGTGGAAGGAGTGGGTGTTGTTGGTTCTGTAAGTTATGATTAGTAGGTTTAGATGTAATCAATATATCATAGTGGGTACAGGATATCAGAATGGGTACATGGCACTTTCCCCAGTATCGTTATACATCTGATTTATTCAAAGATAATGGCATATAATAAGAGCTGACAATATCAGCTCAGACCACATCTGTTGTGTGACTTACTCTACTGGGCTTTCAGTATGGAGGGAAAAGAGCAGCATCCCTGTACCACACTCATTTCACACTAAGCACTTGCCACAGCAAATCATACTAGAGGAATTTCTGGGGAAGACCACAACCTAGCATCCATTCATCTTAATTTTGTTCCCAACTCTCCTTTTCCCCAAGAGACATTAACCTACACCTTTTCCACACCTGTTAACCTACAGAATTGTTCTTCAGTCTGTCTTGCTGTGTTAAAAAAAACAACCATAAATTGTTGTTCCTCACAGAATATGCCTCGGAGGAGAGTCAGTGTTGCAGTTGTTCCTAAGTTTAACTCCTTGAACATTCCTGGTCAGTCACCAACAGCTTCACCTATACCTTCAATGCCATCCCTGGTAAGTAAACCCCGTATTTTAAAGGTACTATTTTTTGGCTAAATTACTTTTACATAAAGCCAAGCCACAGTTACTAAAAAATGGAAACCCTTTCATTGGTTTAACTTGTTTTGACTCCATCCTAGTGAAGGGGGTGGACAGAGGCAGTTTCTATTTGGAAGGGACATGTGCCTTCAGAATCTACCTCCTTAAATGATCATTTTAGAAACTGCTGAATAGGGAGGGCTGGTGATTCAGAGGCATTGCACATTGGTGAGGCAATTTACCTTTTCATCTGTAGTAACATACAGGAAAGAAGTTGTGAAAATAGGTGTCCAGTGTAGGAGAGGAATCTTAACTAGAAACCACAGAACACTAAACAGAAATACGTGTAATCAATGTACAGAAATGTGTGTGGTACAAATTTAGAAGTTCTGTGATGATTTGGGATCAGTGAAGTCATCAGCCTCTGTGTTGGCTGTTTATTTATAAAACTTTAATAAATCAAATGATAATCTAATTTAAACATAATGAATCCATATAAATGCTTTAGAGGAAAACTGCAAGGCATACTAACTGTTCAGAGATGAGCTATGATGGGACATAACCTGAAAGTTATGCAGTTACAAATGTTGAAAATGCTGGTTTATTTAAATGAGGGGGTTTGCTGAGGAGCTAAATCCATTTTAGTTTTAAGAAAAGCATCTGTTTGTGCAATTTAGTTATTATGTCCTCAGAGTCAATTGTTTCAGGAACTAAGTGTGTTTGTTTGCCATGGTTTATTATGATTTGGTTTTGTTTAAAATTTCCGTTAGAAAACTCAGCTATTAATGTTCTTCAGATAATAGGAGAGATAAAATAAAGTAATTATACTATTCAGTGATCAATGTATTTTGGAGAAAATTCTTAGTGTGCAAGTCCCCTGTTTACTGTGGTAAATTTGGAAGCTCCATATTAAAGCTACTTTGCTCGTGAGTGTGGGAAGAAAACCTAAGCAGCACATTGACTTTGTCATTTTATTGAACACTCATTTGAAATTTATTAATGGATATAACATTTGTTGCTGTGTTTTATTTACAGTCTGAATCACCTAGTAATGGAAGGAGCAGCCTAACATCTAGTCCTGCTCTGCCAGCACTTCTAGAAAAGTGAGTTGTCTAGGTCATCTCCTTACCTATTAAATCTTAGTATGAAATGATGACTGGATCATTTCTGTCGTTCCTAAACCAAGACATGAGGTATTGAAATCAGTGACACAACGTCAGCTTAGGTTGATTCATGATCTGGTAACTGTATTTTACCATGTCACCATCATATTTTAGTTTTCACGGTCAAGTTTACAAGCAGCATCTCAGACCTAAACTGAGCTTATAATCATTATTTGTTTAAAGTCCAAGTGAAAATAATGTCTCCTGTTAATACGACTTCTTTCTTAAGAGAAAATCCATCACCCACAGATGGTGTCAATTTTAGTGCCCAAAAAATAAGGCCTACAAAAAAGGTTGGATTCTAGAAGTTGAAATGGGTTCCACTGTTGAGTTTATTAAACCTGGACTTTGGTAGATTTGCTGTTATGTCTCAATCACTTAAACTCCTTGTCCCAGATCAAATAAATAAAGATAGGAGAACACTGCAGGAAGACAGCAATATAAAATGGCTTAACTTTAGGCTAAATGCTCAAAGCATTTTACTTAAGAAAAGTTTTAGTGACTAAAGAAATGTATGTGTTTGTGGTTTTTTTCACCTGTGCATCAGTTCAGCATACAAAGTCAGCAGAGGGGAGTAGCTAAAAGGCAAATAAAACCAATGTTTTGTTAAATTGGTATTTGATATTATTTCTATTATTTTCCCCTTATTTAGCTGGTTACAATATCTAAGATGATTTTTAGAAAATTGATGGAAATGTTTTCAAGAATAGCAAATAAATCCCATGGATGAGCCAGGAAACAAATGTAGGGGTTTTTTGCTTTTTTTTAAACAAGAAGCAAAGTGCAGGTCGTATTACCTTAAAAACATAGTAACTACTGTTCTTAAATTACAACATTTTGAAACTAATATTTTTCTTGATGTTTAGTTTTTCTTTTGAAAGACATTTCATTTCTCTGTTGTACATTAAAAAAGACAAATCACGAGTCACAAAACTGTAGTGTGCTCCAAATACAACACATCAGTGGCATTATTTTCTATTTGTCTTTTCTTTTGTCTTGGCAGTGGAAAGTCTAATGGAGAGCCTGACTGTGAAACCTCTACTTCTGTGCTGTCACAGAGCGGGTTGGAAGAGATCAGCCCTGAAACTAAAGCCAAGATAGAGGAGGAAGCATATAACAAAGGGTGGGAATATTTTATGTGAACTGGATCTGTAAATATGTGCTACCAGTTTACTGCATATGTTTTTAAAATTTATTTTTAAATGCAATTTTAAATGAGTGACATAACTGAAAGGTGCTCCTAGAAGACAGTAATAATTGGAACAATGTGGGAAACAACGTGAGTGAGCTTCACTCATTGTATTTGCATGGTACCTGTTAATTTTCATCCTTTATTAATGAAAGGCAAACTGTGGGAGAGCAGTTATATCAGAGATTCTGAGTTGGATGGGTGTTCTTATGTCAGTAGTGCTCAGCTTCATGACAGGATAATCCAAAAACAGCCTTATGAAATGTTTATTCTGAAAAGGCTACACAGAAAGGAGTAAAGAGTAAGAATCAGCTGTTGCAGTAGTCATGTTGTTTGTGTCACAAAGTGCTTTACACAGCATGTTTTGGGGCAATTAACAACTTTGGGATCTGTTTCTGAATGCCAAGCAAAGAACTCTGTACTAGGATTTAGAGTGAGACAAAAATTTTGATCCCCTCCTGCAGAATCCAGCATACCACCTATCTTCAGCATTGATTTATTCTCCAGGAGAAAAGAAATACCTGGAGGGTGTTCAAAATTACCAACTCCTTTACAATAGAAAGAAGTTCATCTCTGTTGAGGACTATAACCTCTTTTTCTCATTCAAGACCATAAATTTTGTATCAGCCCTTATATAATCCTCTATTAAGGCTATCTGTGTACTGTACTCACAGTCTTCAGCTAATTTTTACTCTTGTCTAAGTGCTACAACACTGCTACTTCTATTTTATTGCATGAATCAAAGCATAAAGTTAATTTTTCACTAAATAAAATCAGGCTTGTACAGCATACTAGACTAAGAAATAAATGTTTTGTGTGTTAAAGCTATCAGGAAGGCTTGAAGAAAACCAAAGAACTTCAAGAACTGAAGGAAGAAGATGAAGAGACACCCAAAGAAAGTCATGATGAACATGAAGAAAGTGAAAATGAAGATGAGATTAAAAACCTGAAAAGCAGGTGAGACAGTGGGGTAATATGTCCATAAAAGAGGGGCCACTCTGTTCTATTTGTGGTACCCAACCAAGTGTTTTATACTATCACCTTGACATGTTTTCCTGCAGTCTAGAGAAGCATATTTCAAATAACAGTATTTTCACAGAAAGGCATGTTCCAAGACAATGGAGTTACAAAATGCAAGTTTTTATTTTGCTGTTTCAGCTAAAATTGTATGTTGACATCAAGATGCTTCATCTTAATGGGGTTTGGTTCTGATTTGAGGTAAAAAAACATTCCAGAAAAGTTCTTTAGATGCCAGAAAGTATCTCTCTGTAGACGTCATTGTCTCATGGAGGTTGTAATTCAGGAATCCCAAATTTGTGCTGTATGTCATTCCCAAAGGGTCACCTACAAGCTGAATGCAGAGTAAGACAAGCTCCTCAGCTATGTTGGGCTTGCTCTGACCTGCACAGGCAGGTGCTGGCTGCCTCTGGGAGCTGAGTGGGTGCAGCAGGACAGCACCAGGCTGCAGTTCCTGCCTGTCACTGGAGTGACACGCTCGTTGCACCCTTCTGTACCCAGTGCTCTCTGTCTGCACTGGGGACTTCTGAATCATCTGCTCCAAGTCTTCCCTGAAGCATTTGGTGCTTCAGGTGGAAAACACACCTGAAATGTTCACTTTTTCTTACAGTTCATTATTGAATCTCCTCAGTGGCTCTGCCACCCAATTCAATACACCTGCTGCTTCCTGCATTCAAAAAGCAATGAGTCTTCTGAGTTAGAGGCAAATGGAATGCTGGCCAAAGGAAGTAGCATGTCTAGTCCCAAGCTAAGGCAGGGAACCTTACTTGATCTGGAAGAATTCATTTCCACTCCATAAGCATTGTGGTTATAAACATCTGTAGATTTGAGGCTTCAGCCATGTTCAGAGGGCAGCCATCTCGCTAGTCATGACACTCTCAGAAAGAAATGTTTATGACATGTTCTAATGTTTAATTTAGTTGGCTGAGGTATGAACAGTGCAGGATTTTGCATCATATCAAGCTCTGAGACAGGTGGGAGAAATAGAAGTGAAGTTTGCAGTCTTGCAAATATTACTCAAATCATATCATAGTGAAATAGAAAATGAAATAAAATTTAGCTATTTAGCTATGTAAGTGTGACTTTGCATAATGTACAACTGCTTAAAAGTTTCTGCCCAAACTGTGGGCAATTAAGATAAAATAGCTTAGACAATAGGGAAGGCTTTTTAGCATGTAGAAAGGGGTGGGGAACCTGAAACTGTTTGAAATAATAAAACTTTATGTAACTACTCTATAATGGTGAGAATAGGAGGTAAAACTAAGTGTCTATTTAAATAAGGCAGACTGCAATAGGAGTGTGTGTATAGATAATTTTAAACTTGCTACTTTCAAACTGTATAAAAAGCTATGGTATTTCTTTGCTCAGCAGAGTGCACTGGGGAAAAACACCTGCCCCTTTGCATTCCCTGGCCGTAATAAAAGTGCTTTTCAGACTGTTCAGAGGTTTCTTTGAATCAATAGAATAGTTTGAGTTGGAATATCTGAGTGTACAGCTCTCCTTAGAAGAATTTCGCGGTCTGTTTCTTCTTTGACAAGGTGTTTCTATTGGGAAAAAAAGATGGGGCACCATATATCTATGAAACCTCTCAAACTGTAAAACTTAAGATAATAAATTTGCGTATATAACAGTTTTCTTTTAATTTTACAGCAGACTCGAAGTCATCATTAATTATTTATATATACTGTACCCCAAACTGTGCAAACACTGGAACGTGGTATGGCTTGTAGTGGCTGCAATCATCATTTTTGCTGTGGTGTTGGGAATCTACCATTCCTACAACTCCTGCGATGAGAAGTCAGAGGGAGCTGAAGGGAAGGCCAGCTGCTCTGCTGCCCACCAGTATTCCTGGTGGAACTCAGGATTTCGACATGAGCAACGCACTGAATAATAAAGGAACAACCGCGTATTTCTGGTACCTGAGCAAGTTTGCATATTAGCCCACTGTTGTTAAAGGTAGTGCTTAGTCACCCCTACGGCTGTCACATGTGAGCTGTCAGACAAGTGAGTTGCTCCACACCCCCAGGTCTGGGGGTGCAGGGTGAACACATCTTGCCAAGATGAAAATCTGATGAATAATCCTGTCAGTCCTCCTGTTGTAACTGACTGATACAAATAAAGTATTGTGGAGTCATGATAAGGTTGTGGCAGTAATGAGCAACCAGCGAAATGTTTAAAAGAATGATTTGCATAGGACACTGATGTTTTGAAGAAAATCATAAAACCTGCATTTGCAGTTAGTGCTTTACTTGGCATTTCCTGAATTTATTGTTGATTGTTGAAGTACTAATTGCATTTAAGTCCTTTGAGGTTTAAGAGTCTAATTAATTTCCTTATTCGTGATTATTGGGTAGAAATAGAAGTTCTTCTATGGAAGAATTTAATTATATTATTAGACCAAATGCCTTGCTGATAGAGTAATTTTAAGAGGAATTATCTGTATGATTATTTAAATGGAATGTTAAGTACATGCTTAAATGTGTTTTATGATATACTTTAAGAATGGGACCACCGCTGCTTTTTTTAAAATGGAATACTCAACCTAAAATGGGGTCCATGTGACATCATCAAATAAATCCGGGAACTTCTGATATATCAAAGGGACATCTTTGCAGAAATTTCTGTATGACACTCAGAGTCAGGACTGGTTACAGCAAAAAGTAGTTGCTGTTTGGAAGGTTAGATGAGCTGCCCAAGCCCAAAATACAGCACTCTTGGACATGGGAATTCTTTATTAAAAAACAAACAAAGAAAACAAAAACTCTTCAAACCTCTGTATACAGGTGATCACACTTAGTGGACTCTGCCCTACTACTAATACTGGAGATAGATATTCTTTGAGATCTGCAGCAGGAACACAGTTCTGCAACAGCCAGAACCCAACCAGTGCCTACGTGAATCAGGACAGGGAAGCAGTGAGGACTTAAGAAAGCTCACTGTGTGTTTTTAGTAGTTCATTTTCAGAACCTGATGCCAGGTATCCAAATGATCTGATACACTTCCAAAGCTGAACTGCCAAGTCATGAGAGATTCATCTCTTGCAGTTCTGCCTATCTGGGAGCTGCGAGTTCTTACACAAGAATGTGAAAGCCTGAAATTCTTGGATAAGCAATTCCAAAATGGTGAAGCCATTTTCTGTAAAAACCCCACCACCTAGGGCTGAGACCAAAATGTGTGTCACTGAGGGTGTACCTTATGTACCTGCTGAAAGTCACTTCTGACTGAAGGTGAATTGTGTCTTTCCTCAGCTATAGCCACAATATCAAAATCAGTGTGACACTTGATTGCACTCATATCTTGCATTCTTCTGGCATTTCCTGGCTGAGAAGCAGGTCTGTTCACCAACTGAAGGATGTGTGTCATGAAGTACTGTAATTTCAGTTCAGACACAGATAATATTGTCCTGTTTTCTTTTGGTGTAAACACTGACCCTCAAGGTAATTATCAAAGAAAACAGGTTCCTAACTCAGTCAGCAATTTAATTCACATGTCTGGCACTAGTAACGAATATCCTGCTAGTGAATTTTTGTTTGTTACATCTTTAGCCACGTGTTTCTTAGGAGACATTTATAGAAAAGAGAAAGAAATGAAAAATTAAAAAAAGCAGACCATAACCACTTTTTTTTTTAGGGGTGGTGGAGAATGAGGGAGTCTATAAGCAGTTAGAAGGGAGGTTTTGTATTTTAAAGTCTGTATTATTGAGGAATAATGTGCCTAAGGAAGTTCAAAAAGGATAATGGGAAAGTGTAATTTGGTCTAAATTTGTAATTGGTAAAGAATAAGACAGAAGAAGGTTTCTTGCAAATTACTTGGAATCTGTTTGGTTCAGTTAGAATATCTGACTGTGAAGAACTACTGTGATATTTCACATACTTTCAGTATTTGAAGAAACTTGTCAGTTGTTCTTTGAATACTTCTTTATTCAGCTTCTTTAACTTAATATTCTTTACGAATGACATGCTTAATAAGGCATTAAAAATTGAAGGTAAATAGTTCTGAATATTCAGAATTCCCTATGCCAGAAATTATGGAGCATATTTGATTATGTGATTGTGGACATGGTGGCCTGCATTGAAGAAAAATAATTATCAGTGCCTATAATCGAATTAATTCACTTTTATTTGCATCTGCACTGATGTGGGCCCAACAGCTTATTTTAAGTACACATAGAAACTTATTGATATCAACAGGACTCTCAAACTGCTTAATGTTAAGCATGTTCTAAAGCTTTTTTGGTCAGTGGGTGAACAAAGTCTCCATGCTCCCTTGAAATTCAGCACACTGCCTTTTTGTGGAATTAGTGCACCAGGGCCAATTCCCATGAGTAGTTGTACTGATTTGAACTGAACTACTTGCATGTCTAAGGCAAGTGTAATTTTGCCACAAAGTTTTTACTTGTTTTGGGGAATCTACTGAAGGAGGCAAGAGGTTTTAATGAGGGTGCAAAAATGAAGATAAAGTTTATTTTTAAAAAAATTCTTTTTTTTATAACTACTTTGAGCAAACTGTCCACTAAAAATAATAAACCACAATGACTAACAGCACAGTAAATAGTTTTGCTTATATTTTTCAGTTAGTTAATGAAAACACCTTTTTTAATAAGAATCTAGATTAAGCTCAAAAACTATTCTAAATGTCATTTTATTTGTTGGATGTTAGTTTGCTTTATCTGGAAAAAAAAAAACAACAACCTCTTCTGTGTTCAAAGATCACATCAGATAACAAGAAACAGAGCTATTATTTATGCTATTAACACTGAAATAGTTTTCCTGAGGTGCAATATTTATTTTTCTGCTTTAACAAGACACATTTATTGTTTTTCCTGCACAGCACAAATGTTTCTAGTAAAAGGAATTTCAAAAGGGCACTATTTTTGTGTATCATATTTAAATTTGTAATATTGTAAGATTTTGCACAAGTGTGCTGGTATTGTACTGTATAGTATCACATACTTGAGTTTTGAAATAAAAGTACGGTTTCAAGTCCTCAATGTTGTTACCTTAAGGATTTGGGGTTTGCCTGTGCTCTGTCTGCACACTGATGGCTGTGTTCTCATGAAGCATGTTACATGTATCAAGGATCTTGTTCTTAGTTTTCCAGTTCTTCAGGAAAATTATGTAGAAGAAGCAAGCAAACTCCTGTGTCAATAGAGAGAATGTTTGTGAGCAGGGTCGTGCCTGTCACACCATAGCAACGAGATGAGAGAGGAAGCTGAGATATCCTGGAGAGAGTTTAGCACCTGCTTCAGAGGGAGGCCACGTGTCACTGAGGAGGCCAAACATGGAGAGCCACAGGGGAAATCTGTAAGCAAAGGATTCTGAGCGAAAGGTTAGGATTCTTTATTTGCTTTGTGTCCTCGTAGACTTGGGAGGTTGGGGAAGCCTGGGCTTTGTGGAGAGCTGTCCAGTGGGTAGGAGACAGTGCTCAACTTCTGAATCTCTGATAGTCAGTGACAGGGAGAAAAACTCTGGGACAGCGACAACCTTGAAAGGAATTGCTGTAACCATGGAAAGACCCCGACATTTGTATTTTCTCCATAAACGTGTTTCCTCTCCTGCTGTTCAGGTTTCAAGGGTCCTTTAGAAATGATTGTAGAGAACAGTTACTTCTGTCCTCCCATATGAAAAGTTTTCTGTTTAGCAATCCTCATCAGCATTTTAAAACATGCTGGCACGAGAGGCTGGGAATTTTTCTTATAAGTTACTACAAGTATTTAGGTCAAACTCTAATTAATCATTCTGTATAAGTCTGTGCTTTTTTTCACTGCACTAATTATGATGAAGACACAGAAAAAGGTTAAAGACCTTTTGTACTGTTACAGTCCGGATAAGTGATCTTCCACACAGTTTTAGAACAGCTGAAATACAAAAAGGAAGAAACCAACAATAAAATAGTTATTTCTGTCTCATTTCATCACTCTAAAATTCTTTTCTCCCTCCTCCAATCTGTGTTTTGCTCTTACAAGACCGTGTGAAGCAGCTTGTATTTTTGTTTGGTTTTGCAAAGGTGTTTATCTCATTTTTTCAGCTAAAGGTCCTACTAAAGATCAAGAGCATAGACTGAGTTTGACTAAAGGAACTTTGCCACAGTGAGTATAGCAGGCACAAAGTGTTAAAACTCGGCAGGACAATTAGCACGCAATTTTAAAATGTCAGAAACCCAGCTCTTGATTAGTTTTCATGGTAGGAAGTACTTTGCAGTTCAGGTTAAGCATGGAGATGGTAAGATTTTGTTTAATGTTCTCAGTGTTTTACAGCCACAGTCTACTTTTCTCCTCCCACATTGTAAATGCAAGTGAATCCGCTTACAACCTGCTTCGAGTGAGAATTAAGTCTGATTACAGTATCTCACATTGCCATCACTTTGTAGAGGCAGGTTAGTACAGAACAATAAAGGAGGGAAGAGAAACTGGAGCAAGAAATTTGTCTGAAGATCTCAAGGAGCTTTACTAACATTCAGTTCCAAACCACAGCCCAAGCACAACCCAATTTTCATTTCGTTATTGCTGATGGAGACATTATTTCACTAACCCACAGCATTCTCCCATTCTCCTTAGGCCCTGCAGGTGCCTGTCTGTGTTACAGAATACCAAATCATATCATAATCATGTTATATGCTGCTCTAGGAGATTGGGCCTGTGCCTAGTTAAAAGCTAATATTGCCTTAATATATTAAGTGGGAACTTTCTACAATACAAACCACAGCTTAAAGAGGTAGCTACTGTTACATTTGTGTTTACAGGACTTTGAAAACAGCCTGAGGACATAGGGCATCGAAAAGTTTCCTGAATCACAAATTGAACATGATGTAACAAAACCATCCTGTTGCAAAAAAAAAAAAAAGAGAAATGGCTCACACCATTCTGAACTCTGTAAGCAGGTAAAGCAATTTATTAATCAGTGCTTGGCATTGGCAAGGCCTCACATGGAGACAAAGAGCAAGCCAGCAGGGGTTTCTTAGCTGAAAGAAAAGTGGGAGCAGAGGCATAACTCTTTAAATACATAAGATAGTTGCAAAACATAAGGGAATAAACTATTTTCCATTGCCAGCAGGAAAAGAAGTGATAGGTTTACATTACTAAGTCAGTTTAGAGTAGAGAATACCTGTGAACAGTAAAGGACAGCAAAGCACTGAAATAGAGCATCTGAGGAGATGTTAGGAACCTGTCACTGGAAGTCTTTGAGAACAGGTTCAACAAACATCTGTCAGGAATAACAGAGATACAGCTGATATGACTGACAGCAAAGGAACTAGTTCATCTCTGGAACCCTGCCCTGTGTTTGAAGGAATCTCTGAATCAAAAAAATAATTGCTCTGCTAAGACTCCCTGAAGGTGTTCTAAGTTACAGCTGTGAGGATCATCTCTGTTTTGAACCCATCTGTGGAAATCACTGTTTGTTGGAACTTAACAAAGGCAGCAGTGGTGGGACTGGCTCCCACCTCCATACCTACAGTCTCACATGGAATCTCATTTACTGTAGTGGATCTCCAAATCTGTTCAAAACTGGGTTTCAGTTACCTCTGTGTTATGGTAACTCTTTGTGCATTGGAACTCTAAGGGAAAAAAAAACAGTAAAATTACTCCATCAAGACATATGGGATAGTGGGGAGTGGATGTCCTTCCAATTCCAATAAACAAAAGAAAAATCCATCGTGGCATGCTGTGATACAATAGAGGACTTGATTTATTTACCAGATGAATAGATAACATGAATAATGAGCTGATAATCAGTAAAAAAAGGAAAAAAATAGCAAAAGAAAAACTTCTTTCAAATTGTTTACTGACTTAGCAGCCTACCAGTCTTATCTCCCTTCCTCAGCCCTGTTTTCTGAATCAGCAGTAGTTAAATTTTCCAGTAACCCCTACATGAAAGGGAGTGTAAAGGGTGACTGGGGATTTCCGGTGAGTGACCTCGCCTTTGAGTGGGACAGTCAACGCATTTGCTCTGACATTCTTTCTATGAAGCAGAGCAGTGACAGCTGAAGTTGCTTTCCAGAAGTCATCTCAACAGAGGTCTGGCAGTATCCAATACCTTAATTTTCTTAGCACAGAAGACAAACCACCTTGAATTCTCTGATTTCCTGAATTTTTCAAGTTGGCGACAATGGCAACTAATTTTGGAGTTACCTCAGCAGTGTTTTTCATCTGGGTGATGACATTCATGGCTCAAAATTACTTTGTAACAGGTAGGTAAAGTTCCACCTGTTAAAGTGTTGAAAAAAGCAGCTAGATTTACAAAAATGGGGGGAAGGGTGCGTGTACTAATGTGTTTCTGGCATAGGAAATCACAGAATTTTGAGACTACAATGCAATGAAAACTAGCATATAATGATTTAAATTTTAATCTTATTTAATTGCTATCTAAATGCTGAAGCTTTTTTGTCTAAATGCTACAGAACTGCATATTTTAAAAATTTGGTATTGCATTTAGGATTAAGTTCAGATTTATTGAAATGTAATTTTATTTTGTACTATTTAAAATACCAGAGAAACAGTTTTGTATAACCTCAGAGAGCAAAACATGCATGAAACCAGTTCTCTTTCAAATTCTATCATCAATTTGATGCAATGTGTTCTAACTGCAGTAGCTTCTGGATATCTGCAGATACTCAATGTGCATCAGAAGTCTCCAGATGCTTCACTGTAATTTGCAAGGAGTAAATGCTTGTTCTACTTATGTAAAAGAACATACACAGTTATGGCAGACAATTGATTTTGTCACCTACTGAAAGACTTCCGAAGGAAACCTGGACTGAGTGAGTTAGATGCTCACATCAAATCCAATTGAAATTCCACAGGATTGGAGTACCTAACAACTCCTAGTCTCCTGCAGCAAAACTGTATAATTTTCACTGGGGAAATGGAGAGCTTGAGTGTTGTTCTTTGCAGCTGTTTGGATGCCCCCCAGCTCCACTCCAAGAGAGCACCCTCCCTTGGGGTACCTCCTCGTGCACCCTCTGCTCACTGGTCCAAGAGCTGCAGTTAAGCTCAGGGTTCAGCCTTGTCTCCAGAATGGACTTCAGGCACGTGTTATAGGTAGCACCATCTTCTGCTGTTCCCAAACGGACTTTCTGGATGTCTAACTCATTATCCTGCTCTCTCTGGGGCTGGAAGTGAAACCTGCCACTGTCACTGTGGTCCTGTTCAGTGCTGTGGGACTGTGCCCTGATCGGTGAGGGCACTGCCCTGCCTGTGCTGCCCTCTGCTCCCAGCTCCTCTTTCCTTGTGGAACAGCCTCATTCCTGCTGCTCCCTGGCATCGGCAGCCAAAGGAAACTCTAATAAATCAGAGTGAAGGCTAGGCACAAGGCAAAGAGAAAAACAACAGCTGCCCAAAAAAAAAGCTAGGAGGAAACTAACATGCAACAAAGTCAGTACCCATAGCTTACAAAAATTGAACAATTTTCTTCCTGTTCTATGACAACTTTGTCTTGCTGTGAGATTCTTTTGTCTAGGTCTTCCCACCTATGTCAGTAAAACAGATTTTTCACCCCAGACCCAAATACTGAGGAGAATGTCCCAGTATTAGTAGGTCAACTAAGCACAGCAAAGCTCAAAGCACAGCTATGTGTAGCTTATGGACAGAAAAGGATAATGTGCTTCCAAGGAGTTAGTCTGTCTCCTGTAGAAACTCAGTCATCTTTAGAACAGAGCTCAGAGGTGATTTAAGAAGTGATGGAAAGATTGAAGAGGCTATTGTTCTCTTTCTGGGTTTCTTCCTCATACTGTAGAACCATCCAGAATTTAGACTGAATCTGATAACTTTTATGAAACATATCTTTTACTTCACCATTTTGTTTTAAAGAACTTAGCAAATTTTAACGTACAACTTCAGCACATATCCTAGAGTCACCTTTATTATCACTTACAACTTCTTTTTCTAGTACTGAATTTATATATTATGCTTTGTATCCATCATACAATTCATGTGTAAAATATTTGTCCTGTAATTGAATGACTAAAGACTGTAGCAGTTTACAAGTACCTACATAATATTCCAAGATTTCATTAAATTCCTTTCTGTCGGCTGCTCAGCTTTATTTGAAATTTGTAAAGTTGATCATTGAGAAACTTTCATTCTCAACATCACCTTTTTTAAAAGTTGTGTTGCTCAAATCTAAAGATAGAAAAATAATTGACTAAGTGAGCAATAAGAGTAAGAGTAAAGTCAGAGCATAAAGAAGTAAAGAAAGAAAGGAACTAGGCATAAGAGGAGGAGGAGCAGGGTATTAAAAACTGAGAAAGAGGAACTGTGGATAGGCCTCAGCAGCCGAGATAGGGACTTATTCAGGGAACCAGAAATGGTTCTCAAGAGACTTGCTTTTAACAAAAAGGAATCAAGAAAACTTAAACCTTGAACACACAGAATAGCACAGAATAGAATAGAGCAGAATTATTTCAGTTGGGAGGGACCTGGAATGAACATCCAGTCCAATTGCCTGACCAAATTGGGGCTGACCAAGACAAAGCACCTTGTTAAGGGCCTCTCAAACATTGCCAGGCTTGGATCCTCACCCACATCTGTCGTGCTCCAGTGTTTGTCTTCTCTGACACAGAAGCACTTTGGCCAAAACAGGACCTACACAAGGACATTCATGAGGACAGGCTGGCTAAAAGGAAGGAGGGAATTTGCCAGTGTGAATCATCCCTCACACTGGGACTACTTGGATAGACTTGAAGTCTTTGATACCTACACACACCCCTTCCTTGAGCAGCAGGGCTTCTCTGCATCCCTGTGCCATATGTTTGGGCTTGTCTCATGTTCAGGCCAGGCCTGGATGTGGCCACAGTTTGACTGTGGGGACTGTTCAAGTGTTCAGTGGCTTTCCACCTCTGCTGAGATAAATCCACCTGATTCAATGATTGCTCCACCAAACACTGAAGTCCAATTAAACAAAATGTAAGGACAGCAGAGATGCATCTTTTTTTCCAGAAGCCATTTCCAAACCCACCACATCCAGTGGGAGCAGGAGCTAAGAGCCTGTCTTTCTTTTAGCACTCCACACAAGCTTAGTCACCTTCTCATCATGAGGGCGGCTTGGCTGCTAGTTCTATCTTTTCATTCATAAAATTCAATTTAACTTGTATTGCTAAGAAGTCGTGGTGAATTTGCAGGCATCGCTTCAGCCTGCTTTGGAGAGTTTGTGGGTTGCCTGTGTTCTTAAACATAGATTTTATGAAGTATTCATTATTGTACATACTTGGTGAGGATAGTCTGCCTCTGCCAAGCATATTGAGCAAGGAAGTAACACCTAGGGCTGTTGGTTATCTGACGTGCTGGCAATGAAATGCTGAAATGTTTCATTTATCAGGGCAATTACTGTATGTAACTCAAAAAGAAAAAATCTTTTTTTCCCCAGTATATGCTTCCAGTGAGACATGGAGGCAAAACAGTAATATCCTTTCTCCTTGTTTGTGCCACTTCCTGAATTTTATCCTATGCCCTTAACAGAGGCTAAGAAAGCAGAGGAGGTGTAACCTAAGCTATGCACTTGCTGGTGCAGGTGTCACAAAGAGTGGACCAGCTGTGCTTATCTAAAAAGCTGGATGAACTGCCTGGAAAAGTGTCATAAATCCACCCTATCTCCTCTTTTCCTGCCAAGTTCAGTAAACTGAATGCTTGACAGTGGCTGGGGGTTAGAAGCATCATGCCAAGATAGGAAAAAAAAGAAGAAAGAGTTTAGGAGGAATAAGGAACACCAGGAATGACAAAATCTTTATATTTTCTCATTGGTATATTAACTCTATGAAAAATTATGCATAATACTTTTGATGATATATACCTTATCATCTTGATAAGAAGAGTGTAATGATAGAATAATCAGTGCCTCAGTGCAACTGCTAGTTTTAATTTGTTAGAAAAAAAAGGAAATAAGACTGTATATGCACTCGGTCTAATAACAGCCAAACCTCTTGAAATTCTAGACTATTGTTAAAAAAATATGTTCTGTTTTAAAATATGTCTTTTACACTAGAAATTAGTTTTCTACTATCCTCAAGCTAGAAACTTTAAAAAATTTCAATTCAGTTAAACATGATCCTAAATTCTTTATGAGGAATAAACATTAATATTCAAAGACTAACCTTTAATATTTTATGGCTTAATTGCAGGTTCCACTCATTCACTTTGCAGGATCACAGGTGTAGGACTCTATCTCGAGAAGAAAGTGAATTTCTCAGAAGCAAGTAATGCATGTAATCAACTGAATCTACAATTGGCAAGTAAAGACCAAGTTGAAAATGCTTTGAAACATGACTTTCAAACATGCAGGTATATTAGTTAGTGGCTCATTGCCTTAACACCTCTACAAGGCTGGTGATAAATCTAATACTAAAAGGACTGATGCTTTTTATTGTAGCTTTGGATGGGTGAAAGATGGATTTGTTGTTATTCCTCGGACAACACCCAACAACAAATGTGGTAAGGGCAAAACTGGACTAGTGCGATGGAATGCTGACCTCCTTCAAACATTTCATGTTTACTGCTTCAATTCCTCAGGTATGTAAACATGACAACTACATTTCTTGTGTTTTGGTTTTTTTAATGTCTGCATGAAAAAATAATAACGAGAGTTCTTATAATTTGTTGACCCTGTCCCCCAAACTTAAATGTTATCAAGCTATATTTGCCTCAGAAGCTTCCTAGAAATACAAAGGGTCAATTCAGTTAATCCAAATTAATAATTTGGTGCTGCCATGAAAGCTCTTGAAGAAGAGTTGCTTTTACCATTCTGTAATGTTGATGCAATGCTCTTAATATGTTTTGGTTATTTAGGCAGGTTCATTTTAGAGACAGTGAATCGAATCTTTAACCAGGGTGTCTGTGTGTGGTCTGTTTGTTCTTTCAAAAAGGCCAAGAGCGGGGTACTTCAGGAAAACTTGAATGTCTTTTGATAAAGGAAAATTAAACTAAATTAAATTATAAGGCAGAACAGCCAAGAGATCATAAACCCAACTAGATTCCCAATCTATTATCCAATAGCTTTCTTTAATGTGCATCATCCTATGTGTGAAAAGGATGCTAAGAAGTTAATTCCTTACCTTGCTGATAAGGAAGCGCTGCACGGGAAATGCACTATTAAACACTGAATTATCACCTAACCTATAAAGTTAAAAATTACATGATTAGGCTAACTTAGTTTTTCTCTGCAGTTCAGAGCTTTTATTGATGAATGCATTGATGTATTAGTGCCATGGCAACATGCTCTAAAAAAAGCTGCTCCTATTGGTATTGTTATTTCTTCTGTTCCTGTGCAACATGGTGTGTCAGTGCATGAAATGTATGTTATTCTGCATCAGACACATTGGGTAAATTGAGTAATGCTAAAGAGGTAGCAAGTAGTTTCAAATTATTGCTTTGTTTAGCTTTAATTTTAAAATAATAATAATAATATATATATATTATACTGTTGGAGTACATGAAGAAGGTTAAGCTTCCCAAATGGTTAGAGTACAATTTAATGTATATTTAACATTGGAATGATTCTGCATTTCTTTATCTTTACTTCCAAACTGTTGCCTGTTCTAGGCATTTCTTACCCAAAATATTTGTCAGAAGCTCATCCTGTCGATTTTCTTGTGCCAAAAAAAGTGCCAAAGGCGCTTGAAAACCATCATGGAAAAAGTATAAAGCCCCTGCCATTTAGCTTTTTATTCTGTGAGTGTAACTGCGTCATCAGACTTCCCGTGGGGATTCATGTGGACAACAGTGCATACGCCGTTTCCCTCTTTTTTATGTTGTAATTTGGTTGTTACCTTAGTGAAATTTTTATAGCTTTACAGAATACAGAACTTCACTAGCAAAGAAGAATTTCCACGTTTTCACATGAGCCTGATTCGGAACTCAGCTTTTCCACTTGCATAAAAGATTTCCCTTGAATTTTAAAAAAGACAATATTCACTTCATTCAAATGGCTTAATTTCTGAAAATTACTTTTTTTTTTCAAACCTGAAGTTTGTCTCTTCCTTGCCCCCCCATCCCATTAAAATCATGTCTCTTTATTATTTCACACTAGTGCCTGATGTATCTGAAAGTTTCATGGGCTACTTTTGTTTCCAGGACATCAAATCAGTTTTCCAAGTATCAACAGTGCATGCATATGTTTTGAACATGTACATAATATCATGGAAATATTTTTGAACATTGAATCTGCAGTAGTTAAGTCTCCTGCTCTGCAGAAGGTTATACTGTTGGTTTTTATATGCAATGTTATTCTACGTACTGTCCATGGGGAATCTTGTCATTGATTTGCAAAAAAAAATGAGTGCTACACTTGCTAAAAAGAGTGTTTAATTGTGTGAGTAATGATAAAAGCTGTGTAAGGGTAAGGGTAATGGCCAGTCTTCGCTAG